AGTCCCCCCTCTGCCGCGAGGAGGGGTCGTGCCGCCCCCCCCAGCAGCAGAGCGCTGCTGCTGGGGGGGGGGTCCCGACCCCCCCAGCAGCAGAGGGCATTGGACCCAGCTCTCCCGGCTCCCGCCTCTTCGCCGCCGCCGCCCCCTCCCACCTCGGCTCGTGTTTTAGCGGTACGCTCGAGGCGGCTGTGTTCACCGCGCCTTTGAGCCCAATACACCTTCGTCGTGTCGAGTGCTGGCGTTTTACTAAAGACTTGTGGACCATGTGAGTCTATCTTGTACTACCACACTAAAAGCCGTATAGTGAGCCACTCACTCGGGCGTCTCGGCTGACGATGATCGATCAGCGTTGATCTCTCTAGCCTATCGGTCCCCCGCTCGATCCTCGGATCGCTCGCTCGTCGAAATCGATCGACTGAGCTTAAGGACTTTTCTCGTTTTTCGAAACCGGCGCACTGTCAGGTCCGCCGCGACGCGTCGCCGCAATGGCGGGCAGCGACGTGGTGGAAGCCATGCGGCTCGCCCTCAAGCCATTTAATATCCAGCACCTCGCCGACGACTGGAACGCTAACCGTACTTACTTACAGCTGTCGGTACAGAGATGCCAGCACACCCCCCCCCCCAGGCCCATGAGCAGCCAGAGCGCTGCTGCTGTGGGTGGGGGTCCCGACCCCCCCAGCAGCAGAGCGCTCCTGCTGGGGGGGGGGGGGTCCCGACCCCCCCAGCAGCAGAGCGCTGCTGCTGGGGGGGGGGGTCGGCCATGACTTTAGATGTGCAGGGGGGGTACCGACCAACCGGAACCGCCGACTACCGAGCAGCGTGTGCGGCGCCGCCGCTCTGCCTCTGGCGCGTATTATACAAACAACACGCACGTCTCATGCCGTGGACATGCGCTTCGCGTTTTTGACACCCTTGTTTTTGTTGCCCGACGGGCCGCCCTTTCCGCCAAAGTTCTTCTTTTTCTTTTTCTCCTGCTCCCCGCTCTCGGGCTGGAGCTCGATCTGCGGCGCCGACTGGATCTTTGGCCCGCCCGGCACGTACCTCCCCTCGACCTGCTCGGCGACGCCGCCCTGCTGCTCAAGGTACGACTTGTAGTCGCCGTCGTACACGACGAGCTCGCCGTCCTCGATGGCGAGGATCGTGTTGGCGGTCTGCGAGATGAAGAAGCGGTCGTGCGACACCATGAGCACCGTGCCCTCGAACTGCTGCAGCGCCTGGTGGCAAAACGGACGGCACGGGTGGGCGTCGCGCGCAACCGCGACGCGGCGGCAGCGCGAGTCGCGGCGGCGCCTCCTCGAGCACCTCCTTGGCGGCGATGTCGAGGTGGTTGGTCGGCTCGTCGAGCAGCAGCAGGTTGGACGGCTCGAGGAGCATGCGGCACAGCGCGACGCGCGCCTGCGCGAGGGCGTCGCGGGCGTGTGTGACGGACATGTCGCGGACATGTCGCGGACATGTCGCGAGCAGGCTGCGGCGGAGCGCGGCGGCGGCGGTGGCGGTGGCGCGGCGGCGGGGGGCGGCCGCCTTCTCGCCGCCCGAGAGGAGGGAGAGCTTGTCTTCGACCTTCTCGCCCTTGAACATGAACTTGCCGAGCAGCGCGCGCAGCTCCTCGTACCTGCGTGTCGAGGCCGTGCCGGGCCTATGTCGGGGCCGTGTCGGGGCAGTGTGGCGGGATGGCTCTCGGGGGGACGTGCGTGCGCACGTGTGGTCCGTCGATGCGGAGGCGTCCTGTACCGTCTGCAGCACCGTCTTGTCGAGGGGGAGGGCGTTGGCCTGGTCCTGCTCGAAGTAGCGCGTCACCGCGTTGGGCGCGACCACCTCGGCGCGGCCTCTCCGCGGGGTCTCCGTCCCGAGGATGAGCCGCAGCAGCGTCGACTTGCCCGCCCCGTTCGGGCCGATGATCGCGATCCGGTCGCCGCGCTCGATGCACAGGTCGACGTCCGAGAAGAGGGTCGAGCCGCCGTAGCCGTGCTCGACGCCCTCGAGCTCGATGAGCTCCTTGGAGCAGCGCGGCGCGGGAGGGAAGCGGAAGCCGAACCTCGCGCGTGCGGTGAAGGGCTTGGGCATGTGCTTATCGCCGCCGGGCTGCAGCTCGGCGAGCGCGCGCTCCTTGGCGCGCACCGTCGCGGCGGCGGCCTCGTTGTTGCGCAGGCGCGAGACGTCCGCCTTGAGCGCCTTGATCTCCTTTTGCTGCGCCTCCCACGCCGCGGTGGCGAGCCGGACCCGCTCGCCCTTGAGCTTCAGGAAGGAGCGGTAGTTGCCTGCGGGGTAGGGTTAGGGTTAGGGTTAGGGTTGAGCTTGGGAGAAGGAGCGGTAGTTGCCAGTGGGGCGTGCCGCGCCGCACTGTGCCGCGCCGCCGTGTGCCGCGCCGCCGCCGTGGGCGCCGTGGGGCGGAGGGAGGAGCGGGGTCTGAGGGAGGAGGGGCGGAGTGGTCGCCTGGGTACGAGTGCGTGACGCCGTACTCCGTCTCGACCATCTTAGTGCAGACGCGGTCGAGGAACTCGCGGTCGTGCGAGACGAGGACGAGGGCGAGCTTGGACGTCTGCTCGCGCAGGTAGCCCTCGAGCCACTCCACCGAGTCGAGGTCCATGTGGTTGGTCGGCTCGTCGAGCAGCAGCACCTGCGGCAGCCGCGGCGCGGGTGAGCAGGCCCTCTCGCCAGAGTGTGCCGGCGAGTCGGCCGAGGAGGGGCAGCAGCACCTGCGGCTCCTGCAGCAGCGCCTTGCCGAGCCCGATCCGCATCTTCCACCCGCCCGAGAAGGCGGTCACCGGCAGCTCGGCGTCCGACGGGGAGAAGCCCATCGCACTCATCATCCTCTCGGCGCGCTTCTCGATGGCGCCCGCGTCGGACGCGTCCAGCTGCGCCTGCAGCTCCGCCATCGTGTCGAGCGCGCCCTGCATCGCGTCGGCGTCCTCGCCTGCGGCGGCGAGCGCCGCCTCCGCCTCGTCGTACCGCGCGCGGAGCGAGAGCACCTGCAGGAAGGAGAGGGGCGGTGCGCGGCAGAGGGGACGCTGGCGCGTCGGCACGGGAGGCGGAGGGGGGGAGGGCTGCTCGCAGGCGGCGGCGAGGGAGGGGGAGAGCCTCGCCGCTCGACTGGCCCCTCGACTGCGCACCTCGACTGCGCACCCCTCGACTGCGCTCCTCGACTGCGCTCCTCGACTGCGCACCTCTGGACAGGCGGGGCTACTTCTCGGCTACTTCTCTGTCCCGCTCGCGCCTCCGAAAAGACGGAGAGCATCTCGTCCCGCAGCGAGCGGTCGTCGCGGAGCTCCTCGCGGAACTCCTGCCGCAGAAAGGCAACCTTGATGTCCGCCGATGACTTGACAATCTCGCCGCCGTCGAGCTCGAGCTCCCCGGCAAGGACGCGCAGCTGCGTCGTCTTGCCGGCTCCGTTGTTTCCGACGAGGCCGACGCGCTGCCCCGTCTGCACGTCCCAGCTCGCGTCGGTCAGCACGTCCTGGTTGCGGAATCGCAGCTGGCCGCCGCTCATCTTGAGGTACGCGAACCCTGGCTCGGCGCCCTCGAACCGCTCGATGCGAGACCCCATCCCGCGCCGGCCAGAGGTGTCGGTGCCGCCGCCGCCGGCGGCGGCGGCGGCGGCGGCGGCGGCGGCCTCGTCATCCGCGGCCGGCTTGGCCTTGCCCTGCTTCTTCTTGGACAGCCGCACCGCCGGCTCCGCCGGCTCATCCGCCGCCTCCTCGACCGCCGCCGCCTCGACCGCCTCCTCCGCTGCGTCCGCCGCCTCCTCGTCGGCCGCCGCTGGCGCGGGCTCCTCCGCCACGAGCGGCGGAGGAGGAGGCGACGTGGACGGGACGGCGGGCGGCGGCGCGGCGGCGGCAGCGGCGGCGGGCGCGCCCAGCGAGAGCCCCAGCTGGTTGACCAGCTCGTCCGCTTGCGCCAGCAGCGGGCCGGCTCCGCTTATGCCCATCGCCTCGTTGCACGCGCTCAGCGCGGCCGGCACCGGCAAGGAGGCGTCCACGCCCAGCTGATCGCACACGGCCCGCACCTTGTCTGCAAGGGTCACGGCCGGCGCCGCCGCCGCGGCCGGCGCGGCGGGCTCGGGCGTGGGCGCCGCAGGCTCTGGCGGCGGAGCTGCGAGATCGCGCTTCTTCAGCTTCTTCTTGCCCATGGCGGGCGCGACAGGGGCGAGCGGGTCGTCCGCCGCGCCTGTTGCCGCCGCCGCCTCCATCGCCTCGAGCGCCTCGAGCGCCGCCAGCGCCGCTGGCGCGAGCCCACCCTTCTTTGCCTTTTTGGGCTTCTTTGCAGCCTTGCCGGCGGGCGCCACGGGAGACAGCCCGTCGTCCGCCGCCTCCGCGCCACCGCCCGCCGCCTCGCCCGCCTCCCACGCATCGAGCGCCTCGAGTGCGCCGGCCGGGGCACCCTTGCCCTTCTTCTTCTTCTTTGCCATCATGACCACGGGCAGGAGCGGCGGCGGCCGCGCGCGCAGTGCCGGGCCGTGCCGCGCCGGCGCGCCGAGACCGCGTGCATCCTGCAGCAGCAACGCGAGCGAAAGGCAGATTTTCAGCGGCGAGAGCTTCATGGCGTCAATGCGACGGGCGCAGCGCTGGACTCGGCGCAGCGCTGGCCTGGAGCTCGTGGTTGGAGGCACAGCGGCGACAAGAATTTTCCAGGCCGAGAATTTGCGGCGCGCCTGCTCGTGGACCCTGTCCTCCACTGCGGGACGCGGAAACGAAAGGTGTGTAGACCCCAGTTCCAGCGGACGCAGCGAGCGTCGGGACTCCGTCCCAGCAGACGAAGTCTTCCTCGTGGGCTCCACGGCCCGGATCGCGAGCTCGATCGATACGCGACGCGCTCGGCCTCCGCTGGCGGCTGCCGCAAGAGCGGCTGGCTCACGGCAGCGTCTCGCCGGTTGCCGGATAGGAGAGTACAGAACGTCTGGAGTGTAACTGTGTACGTGAGATCGGTTTTGATAACAAGCACGGTCGATCCGTCAAAGCGATACACTCGTTCCTATCTCGCTGGAGGGCTGGCACGGAGCTCTGTTGCCGACAAACAGGAAGAGCCGAGCGGCAAGAAGGGCTCGATGGGAACCGTCAGAAGAGCTTCAGGTGTAACCTGAAGTCCGTCGTGACGCTCTTGTTCCCCCCAGGTTTGACCGCGCAGCTTCCAAAACTCGACGATATCTCCGGAAAGACTGCGAACGTCCCGCAGAGCGGCAGCATGAGAGGCGCAGAGAGGCTGCGAGTGCTCGACGAGTCTTGCGAGCTGCGCGTTCAAACCTGGGGGGAACCGACCGCATCAGGGTGGACTTCCGAAACCTCCGTGAGCACGTTTGACGGTTCTCGCTCCCCATCGAGCCCTTCTTGCCGCTCGGCTCTTCCTGTTTGTCGGCAACAGAGCTCCGTGCCAGCCCTCCAGCGAGATAGGAACGAGTGTATCGCTTTGACGGATCGACCGTGCTTGTTATCAAAACCGATCTCACGTACACAGTTACACTCCAGACGTTCTGTACTCTCCTATCCGGCAACCGGCGAGACGCTGCCGTGAGCCAGCCGCTCTTGCGGCAGCCGCCAGCGGAGGCCGAGCGCGTCGCGTGAGTTGAAATCGATGTGGCGAGTCGACCGCCAGTCCGTACGATGGCACTGCGACCGCGGCGGCTGCTGGCGAGGGCAGCAGCGGTGCGCGCGAGGCGGCAACGTAATCGGGTCCGAAGTCCGGACCCGATTTGGGGTCCACACACCTTTTCGCCGAGTGGCCTCCCCTATCCCTCGTTTGGGTTGTCTGCCGGCTTTCTTTCTTTTCAACCCAAGCGCCAAGGCGCAAGGCGCAAGGGAGGACGACGGGAGAACGTAACACTCTGCCGCCCCAAATGTAATGTGAATGTAAATGTGAATGCAAATGTGAATGGAAATGTAACATGACAAATGGCAAAATTTACAATCAACAATATAACCCATATGCAACCAAAGGGAAAACAGGGCGCGTGCACGCTATACAACGTCAACGATGCCTGCAGTTGTCATGTCACATGCGCGCGTCGTTCACTACTCGCTAGGTTCACATGGCTGATGTAGTATATTGCGGGAGCCACCGCGCAGGCGCGCAGGTGCCGCAAGGCGCGTGGCGCGTTGCGCCAGAGCCACACCACGGTGGGCTAGACCGCCCGGATCATCGCCCCTGGCGGCACGAGCTCGACCACCTCGGCGGGCGCGCCCGATTCAGCGGCCGCTCCAAACCCGGCAGCCTCGAGCCACCGCGCGCCCTCGACTCGTAGGAGGGGCGGGAGCACCGGGGAGATGGCCCAGCGCTGGCCGAGGGCGCGCGCCTCGCGGAGCGCGCGCGCGATGAGCATGGCCGACCACTCGGCGCGCTGCTCCGGCGTCACGTCCCGCTGCAGAGAGAGCTGCTCGAGCCACGCGACGCCTGCGGGCCGGGGTCGCGGGCGTGCGGCGCGTGCCCTGGAGGGCGGGGTGGGCTGGGCCGCGCAGCACCTCGAGCGGCGCCGTCGGGCACGAGGAGGCACGCCCCGCCGAGGTCGCCGTTGAGCCGGCCGCCCGCCTACAGGAGGGATGCGAGAAGCTTCAGGGAAGGGCCCCGGAGAGGTCGCCATGAGCCGGCCGCCGGCCGCCTGGCTCCTCGCTCGCGCGTCGGCCGCCTCTTCGGCCGAGTACGGGAGGATGACGTGCCTGGGTGGGGCGGCGAGAGAGGGTGGCACGGTGGAGGAACGCACGCAAAGAGCGACCGCATGACGGGGAGTGTGAGTCTGCAGCATGACGGGGAGTGTGAGTCTGCAGCATGACGGGGAGTGTGAGTCTGCAGCATGACGGGGAGTGTGAGTCTGCAGCATGACGGGGAGTGTAAGTCTGCAGCATGACGGGGAGTGTAAGTCTGCAGCATGACGGGGAGTGTAAGTCTGCAGCGTGACGGGGAGTGTAAGTCTGCAGCATGACGGGGAGTGTGAGTCTGCAGCATGACGGGGAGTGTGAGTCTGCAGCGTCTGCGGCGGCGCATCTACCCTCGACGCGCAGCCCCTTGTCGTCGTTGGCAAAGCTCGTGGCGCTGCCGTGGCAGCGCTGGCGCAGCAGCGCGACGGCCTGGGAGAGGGAGAGGGCGAGGTGTCGAGCGCGTCGCGAGTGGGAAGCGTCGAGTGTTGAGCGCGAGCCTGGTAGAGGGACAGCGCCTCCGCCGCGCCCTGCGCCTCGATGTCCGACCACGAGAGGCAGAGGATTACGCCGCCGGAGCCCTGCGAGGCGACGCCCACCGCGCCAGCCACGCTCAGCGGACGGAACTGCGCTGCAGGCCGACCCGCGCTGCCCTCGCCGGCGCCCTCGGCGGTCACGTTGGAGCGGAGGGCGCGCAGCGCTGCGCCGAGGGCGGCTCGCCTGGCCCGCACCTGCAGGAGGGCCCGGAGAAGGTTCCGAGGGGGGGCGGGGCTGAGGGACGGGCGGCTCTCCCGGCCCCGCCACCTGCGGCTCGACGATCTCGTGGAGGTCGCGAGCGTGCGGGCGGGCGGGCAGCTGCGCCAGCCGCTCGTACTCGGACGCGCCTCCCAGCGCTAGCATCACCTGCCGTGGCCCGGGGCAGGGTGAGAGGGGGGAGGTGGGGAGGCAGGGAGGAGGGGTGAGAGAGGGGAGGTGGGGAGGCAGAGAGGACCTGCCACGGCTCGGGGTGGGCGCGATAGAGCATCGCCTTTCCGAGCATCTCCGTCACGACGGGCAGCTCGCCGCCCAGCACGTTTGGCCGCGCGGCCGAGGCGGGCTCCTCGCCGCCCTCGGGCGGCGTGCTCGCTTGCGGTGTGACGTAGTGCCGCTCGGCGAAGTGCGAGACCGCGTCCCTTCTTCCGGCCGCGGAGAATCGGTGCACCTCGCGCGTGACGTGGTGCGGCTCGAAGGCGAACACCGTCTCAAAGCGCGCGCGCTCGAACTTGAGCAGCCCGACGGCCGGAGAGTTGAGGCACACGGAGGCCTGGGTCGAGGCACGCAGCCACGCGCAGGCGTTGCGGTGCGCGGGGCTGTCGCGGTCGTAGTCGGAGCAGCCGGCGACCATGACACCCGCCGCACGCTCGACGGGCTCGCAGTACTCCAGAATGCCCAGCCGAAGCCGCCGCCTGTCGGCCACGGGCCAGTCCGCGCTGACCGTCTCCTCCGCCGCCGCAAGGGTCTTGAGGTTCGGGAGCATCAGCACGAGAGGGCCGCTGAGGACGGTGAGAGCGCGCATGCAGCGTAGCGCAAGGTGTACGAAGGCATCGTCGTTCTCTTGCACAATCTCCGCCTCCACAGTCATCTCTCGCTGTCCAGACACGACGGCAGACATCACCGCCGCCCGTGCTGCCTCAGCCATCTCCTCGACGCTGCTCGGCACGCTGCAGCCGAGGACGCGGCAGCGTGGGCGGTCGCGGAGCGCGGCGACATGAAAGCGTGGATGCCGTATCGCATCGGAGGCGGCGAGGAGTGTGACGGTAATCAGGAACATTCGCATAAGCGTGTTTAGCTGCTTTGGCGCAAGCCGAAGCTGGACTGCTTGGCGCGAACGCCGACAGACTTGGGCAGGGGAAAGAATTCACTGGTCAGCTCCAAGTGCTCCAAGCAACTCCCTCGTCCTCACTGGAAGGGAATCTTAGGTGGTCCGGTTCATGATGGCCCCGCCGTGCCAACCAGTTTAAATTCCTCGTGGACGAGCTGGTCTTGGCCCGGCATGACAGGCTGCATCCCCTGGACAACAGGCCCGCGATTTGTTGCGAGATCGCTCATAAGTATGCAAGCCACACCAAGGTCTCTATAAGGGTTGTTGAAGGCGATCACACGCCACACCCCTGAACGAGAGGCCGAGCCGGCAAGGTTTTTTATGGTTCCTTCCTACAAGTGATCGCGTTCGACGTTAAGGCGATCACACGCCACACCCCTGAACGAGAGGCCGAGCCGGCAAGGTTTTTTATGGTTTCCTACAAGTGATCGTTCGACGTTCGTGCAAGAGAGGCCAACTTTGCCAAAACGACGCGCACCCAAAAAAATACCTATCACCACCCACTGGCACTGCCACTCCCCAGCAGCGCGCCAAACACGCGGCCAATCTCCTCCTCGGACTGCCGCGTCATAAATACGTGGGAATCGCTCAGTCTGTGCATGGCGGCGCCGGTCCGCTGGAGGGCCTCGTGCTGCGACGGCGGGCAAAAGCCGTCATCGCTCGCGTGAAAGATGTGGACGAGCGGAGGGGCGGCTGCCGCCGCCGCGGCGCCCTGGGATGCGAAGCCAGCGGCGAGCTTGATGCACGCCGCCTCCGCGCCCGCCGCCTCGTCCGCCTCGTCCGCCTCGTCGTGACAACAGCGCGCGCCCCCGCCCCCGCCGCGTGCAGAGAAGAAGGGCGCCGGCAGCGCAAGCCGTGCTGCCGAGGCCTGCGCACGGGCCGCCTCGGGTGAGCGTGCGCAGTGGCGCTGGGTGTCGGGCGTCGGGCGCGCAGGAGCCGCTCGCCATGGCTTCGAGCGTCGGCGCCAGCAGCAGCGTCGGGCCACGCCACCGCCGCTCACTCAGCAGCCAGCAGGCGACGCCGCCGCCCCACGAGAAGCCAACCACGAGATCCACGGTGCCGCCCTTGAGGCAGAGCTCTGCCGCCGCCACCGAGCGACGGATGGCGCCGCGCACGAGCAGCGCCACAAGCCTCGGCGCCAGGCACAGCACGGCGGCGCCGGTCACGAGCGCAGCGGCAGCGCCGCACCCGGCCGCGGAGACCGCCCACGGAAGGCAAGCGGCTCCGGCGAGCAGCGCAGCCTCCCACGTGAAGCACCAGCGCGCGCCCTGCGGCGGCATGTGCAGCGGCGGCTCGACAAAGGTGCACTCCCCAGACCAGCGCCGCCGCAGGTAGTCGAGAGGTCCGCCCGACCAGCCGCCGAGCACAAGCACTCGGGGCTTGCACATATCTGTCTCGCCCTGGGGGCGCGGTAGAGCGATTCCGGTCTACCGCCACCGCTCACACCTCGCTGCGCCTTTACCGCTACCGCCAGAGGCCGCCCGCTGTTTACCGCTACCGCTAGACCCCACTCAGTTATGGGTGCAGGATTCGACACTTCAGCTTGGTGGAGGCCGAGCAAGCCTGCTCTAGCCTCACGCGTTCGCCCCTGTTGTCTGTTGTTTGTTGTGCCCTTGTTTGTTCTCTTGGCACCTGGGAGTGCTGGGGGGGGCGACAGGGAGAATGTGGCCCTGAGTTATGTGTACGCCAACTCAGGGTGTGTGGCAGCCAGCTGGCTGTGTGTCTTGTGAGCCTGTTTGTGTCTGTGTGTCGCTCGTGCGTGTCGTCATCATCTGTCCCGCGTCCACCCATACCGCGTTGGTGTCCAGTCCGAGCCTGACTGTTCTTCATCTTTCTACATACATACAGCTTGGTATAGTATCATCGTATCCCAGATCATACCCCAGGGCTATACCCTGATACCCTCTTGAGAGGACCCGCATTGGGCCCCTAGAGGATAGGCTGATACCCTGGTGGCGGTTACCCTTCACACCGGACACGACCCCCCTCTTCACACCTCTTCGCGCGGGTGATATGCACACATGCGGGCGCTGCCAGGAAATCGTTCTCGAAGTCAACATGGCACCGGCAACATCCGGTGAATTCCGAAACAGCTGGCTTTGCCGAAACGAGGAGGCGTGCATTGCGCGCGCAACAGAGCTGGTGGGCGTGGCGCGCGGGTACGGCGGAAGCGCAAAGAGTTTGAATGATACCGGGGCGGACCGTGCGGGAGGGCTCGGTCCTCGGTGCGAGGTGTGAATTGTCGCTTCGCTGCGCGGCCGCCGATGATACCTTGATACCCAGCCGAGATAAGACATAAGTCCCCACAGAGGCCAGAGCATACCTTGATACCCCCTCGAGAAGGATACGATGATACTATACCAAGCTGAAGTGTCGAATCCAGCCGGCCTAGTCGACTTTCACGTTTGCGAGGGAAATAGAATTTCACGGAAATAGAATTTAAACAAATAGAATTTTACAACCACCTCCCTCGCACAACACTGGGCACGGGAAACAGAATATTCCTGGGGGCCCGATCTGTCGGGAGCGAGGGAGAGAGCAGCACGCGGGAAGAGGAAGGGAGGGTCCCTCCGGGATAGAATTTTTCTTTTTTTCTTTCGGAGAAGGTTTCATTTTTTGTGTATGTAGCTCTTACCTACATTCCTGAAGAAGATTTCTTGTTGGTTTTCAAAAATCTTCTTACATTCCTGACTCTGCTGACAGGGTTTGCGATGAGGAGCGACCCGAAGGGTTTCTCAGAGGTTAGTGCACCACCGCCGAAGCGCAAGAACTCTACGACGGATCGGGCTCATACTAGCACCCCTGCCACCTCGCCCGAGCCGATGTTCTGGCTCAGAGAGAGATTTCTTCTTCTCTCTGGCTCAGCGAGGTTGCTGCGGAGCACTCGCGGACCGACCTTCTGGCCCAGCGAGGCCGCTGCGGGGGCACCCGGCGGCTCGGGTCACTTCTCAGCGCAAACTCAGAAACAAGCTGCCGAGCCCAAATCACTGTGAGAGTCGTGATTTCTTGTTGGTCTTTAAAAATCTCTCTCTCTCAAACTCAGTCGAGCAGGAGGTAAGGTGTGTGTGTGCGTGGAAGGGGACGATTTTGTCTTTTTTTCTTTCGGAGACAAGGAACGTTGTTGTTTCATTTTGGATCAATTACGGGCGACGCCGAAAACATCAACAAGCAGGCGCGCCCTGTGCGCACCAACTGGATCAAGAACAAGCAAGCGGCAAACGGCCTCTCTTTTGGGCTCGAGCAGGTTTGCCTCTCGCACCCCGTCTGTTTCCTTGTTTTCCTTTCCTTTTCTCCCGCCTTCCAGCTTCCTAAGGTCTTGGCTTTTTATTTAGCAGACAAGTGCAGAAACATGCACATGCACATGACAACATGACATGACATGGACATGGACATGGACATGGACATGGACATGGACAACATGCACATGCACATGCACATGTTGCGAGGAGCCCTTTCCGTGCTGAGCCCTTTGCACCGCTGGCACCCACGCTGTTCACCGCCACCGTGCGGCGTGCCCAGCCCTTGTCGGCCAGGCTCTTGCGCCGTCACCGACCGACGGCTCGCACGGCCGTGCGGTGAGCAAAAATTTTGGGTCGCTGCGCGCCTGCCGGATGCTCTGCGACGTCTGGACGCTCGCCAGAAACGCCAGGAAGCTTGCCTTCCACCCCTGTGCCCGAGGGCGAACGGCAGTGGTCGGCAGCCTCTGCGACGCTCCGATCGGCTCCTCGACCTCATCGCCTGCGACGAGCCAGCATGGCTCGTCGCTCGACGGCAGCCTGCCCAGTGCGCTCTTGGCATTCTGTACAGCCTCGCCAAGCTCTCTGTGACGGCCTGCAGGGCCGGCGCGGACCGCCTTGGGCGCGATGGCCCTCCTCAGTGCCCACCTCTTCGATGCCTGTCGGCTCTCCAATCTCGTCGCCGGCGGGAGGCCCGCATGGCGCGCTGCTCGATGGCAGCCTGCTCAGTACGCCTTGGACAGTGACTTCTGCCTCGCTGCTCTTACTGCAGCCGCCTCCGGGACCGGCGCCGGCCGCCACGCCTCGCCAGTGCTGTCTACGCCTGCGACACGCGTGTCGGCTCGCCGCCCGCGTCGCCCGCGGCGGGCCCGCATGGCGCGCCGCTCGTCGGGAGCGTGCCCAGCAGGCTGTGCAGGGCAGCCTGCCTCACTCAGGGCGCCGCCGCCGCTGCGCGGGGCCGCCACCGGCGCTGCTGCCGTGAACACTGCCGCCGTGTACGTCACCATCGCCTCTCTTCGTCGCCGATCTCGCCGACGCCGCTCGCCGCTCGCCGCTCGCCGCCGCCCTGCCCTGCCCTGCCCAGCCCTCGCACAAACAAACCAACACACACACCCACAACACACACACACATTCACACACACACACAACACACCCTGCCCTCACTCGAGCGCCCCGCGCCCTCCCGCCCCACGCCCTGCGCCTCACGCCTCGCGTCCCACGCACGCCCCGCGCCCCGCGCCCCCACGCCCCTCACCCTGCGCCTCACGCCTCCCTCCCCACCCTCTCAGGCATTTCTCCTCCCTGCTGCTCGCCGACTCCTCCTCCCCCCGCATGACCGACGACTACCCGACCTTCGGCGACTCCTCCCTCTTCGGCGCCAACGTCTACTACCCGTTCGGCCCGGTGAGGGGCGGGAGCGCAGCCATTCCAACGGCTGGGAAAATTTCTGAACGGCCGTGCATGCGTCTGCATGCCGGCTTACTAAGAATGTCCCTCGCTCCTGCTCCTCTCTCGGAAGACGCGCGCCGGCCTGGGGGACTCGCTTGCGATCCCGTTCCAGCCAGAGGCCGCATGAGGCGTGTGGGACGGTGCACGCTGGGGCTCGGCCCCAAGTGCGCTGGCCTCGCGTCTCGAGGGGAGGGCGGCTCGTAACTGAGGTCCGCCTGCGGAGACAGTCGTCCTCCCCTTCTCGGCGGGGCAACTAGGTCATTGAGGCCCCCCCCGGGGAAGAGACCGAACGGCCGGCCGACACTCTCGGCCATTCCAACGGCCAGGCCGCTCGCTTAAGGCTGATTGGCTAGACGAGCGGCCTACCTCCATGGGGCTGTTGGCACGGGGGGAGGTGTCAATCACGCTCCCGGGACGCCGGAGAGATCTCGGGTTGGTCTCCCCCGCCTTCAGCCCTGACCCGACGGGGACGCCACCACCCTCGCCCAGGGATCTACAATGCTGTCTTAAGGTCCGACCTGTGGGCTCTGCCTGCGCTCGGCACCGGGCACCGCCTCGGTATACAAAATGCGCCTGCGGGCGGACCCTCACAGATCACAGATCACACCCTCTCTTTTCCTCCCGGGAAAACTCCGTGGAAATCGTCAAATTTTGGGCGCTGAGCCGAGTCTGAGGCTGGTTTGGGCCCAAAATCAGCCAAATTTTAGGCCAAATCGGAGAGAGATTTTTAGAAGCCAACAAGAAATGACAAATGGGTGAGTTCTTCTCTCAAATCGGCAAAATATTTCTCGCAGCGTTCCTGGGCTGATTTTGGGCTTCTCTTTCTCATGCGAGAGAGAGGGTTGTGTTCTTGGCTTCCGCTTTGTGTAAAAATCAATTCGGGGGCACGGGAGCGGCTTATGCGCTTTCTCTCTGTTTTCACAGTGGGGACGAGTCATGGCCTACATCATCCTCACCTACGCAGCGTTCCTGGCGGTGGCCGGCGCTGCCGCGCCTTCCCCGGGCGGACTGACACGGCTCCGCGGCGGCTCGGCGTCGCCGGCTCTTCTCTCGCCCGAGCGGCGCCGGCTCATCGATGACGTGCTGCGCGAGACCGAGCGGAGTGCGGCGACGCTCCGACAGCGGCTCCGTCCGCTCGGCGGACCAACGCCCGCAGACGCCGCAGCAGCGGGGGCAGCCCTCGGGTTTTGCTTCGGTAAGGTCCTCATCGGCGACCCCAAGCTGCTGGCGCTGGTTGGCGCGGCGTCTTTTGCGTACGCGCAGCGCCACCCTGGCAGCACATGCCGACTGCTCGGAGCCGAGTGGGGCAGCCGGCTGAAGGCGGTGTCGGGCCGGTCCGCCCAGGTGGTGTGGGACGTTCGTGGCAGCCTCGGAAACATGCGCTGAACGCAAGCGGGCGTGTGCTGGGGCGTGGAGCGACGAGCGAGCGGCCTCCTCGAGCTGCCTGGAGAGGTGCTCGAGCTCGCGGCTGCTCGGCTCCATGGCCGACTCTCTGCTAATGAAACCCCGCCCGCGCAGAACGAGACTCCGGCGCAGAACGAGACTCCATCTTCTCGCCCGCCAGCAAGCCACGCAACCCTCCCGGCCGCGCCGCTTCTTCACACCGAGGGCGTTCACACCGTAAGCTGAAGGCCACCCTTGCTTGCAGCAACAAGCATCGGCAGGTCGGGCGCTCCATCGCACTCGGCGCGCGCCCGCCCGCCGCGCCGCCCCATCGCACCCCACCCCCCCGCCGCCGCGCGATCCCGCCGCCGCCGCCAAACCCCTCGGCCGCCGCCGCCGCGCGCCGCCGCCGCTCTGCGCGGGCCGCCGAGCGCCGACGCGGCGGCAGGGTCAGAGCGGCACTCACACGGTACACGCTCGGCAGTCTTTGAGTCTTACTTTGTGGGTGGACGTCCCCGCGCGTGCGCGCGGGGAGGCTGAGCAGGCGGGGCCGGGGGTGAGAGCGGCGGGGTGGTGAGGCCGAGGGACCGCGAGGGTCGGAGGGACGTGTGCAGAGTGTCTGAGTCTCTGAGACTGAGTACTGAGAGAGGTGAGCGGAGCGGCGTGAGCGCGCGGTGTCGTGTGAGCCGTGCGCCCTTTTGCATCTTGGGACCGTGTAAACGGACAAAACTTAACCGCGGAGACAAATGAGAGTTGATAGTAGCAACGTTAAAGAGCTCTACTACTACCCTGGGGCCTGGTGCACAATGACAACTCCGTGAGTGTGTCTCCCGACGTGATGCGTGACAGTCTCCGTGTCCCACGTGCCCATGCTACTGAGGGCGGGCGCAAAGCGCGGAGTAAGCAGGGGAGGGGCGCGCGCGTGCGAGGCCTCCCCCAGGGGACGGAGAGTGCGAGGAGTGCAGCCTCCACTGCGCCGCGCGCTGCCGCCCGCCGCCGCCGCCGCCGCAGTTTGGTGTCTGCAGGTAAGGACACCACCATGCGTGGAATCATACATCACCTCATGCCCACCCAGCGACCGTCCGAGGCCGTCACGCTGGGTCGGGCTTCGGTTTGAGTTTTTGGTCCATCAGGACAATGAGCACGCTCATGTTGTCGCGCGAGCCCAGATGCAAGCAATGATCGATGAGCTCCTCGCAGACGGCCCCCAAATCCCACGGCCTCTTCTCCGCCGGCGGCGTGGCCGTCTCGCGCTGCTGCTGCTCGGCCTGAGCGCTGGCCGCGGACGCGCTCGAGCTCCGCTCCGCAGGCCGCCCGTCGACAAGAAGGCTGCGCACCTGGCAGCAGGGCGGCGCCGGCACGGATCGGGGCGCGCCCGCTGAGGGGGGGGGGGGGGGGGGAATCCCTCTTTTGTCTGCGGGGGCGGTGTGGCCGCGGGCCGCGGCGTTGCAGCCAGAGGAGGGTTGGTGGGCGCCAACCGGCAGCCGGTGGAGAGTGTCAGGGAGGACGCATTCCCGCGAGGGGCAGGGGCCGGGCCGGGCAAAGCCGCGCCCGTGTTCGCGCAGACGATGTGCTTTGGCGAGATGAGCGTCATGACCGATGTGGATCCGGACTGGTCCTGGCCCGACTCGACCTCTGGCTGCTGCAGGAGCTCCGCGTCGATCGACATCAGCGCGGTCTCGAACGCCTTGGTCGCCGTCGTGGCGAAGTCGGCGTCGGAGCCTCGCAGCGTGCCGGCGCGAGAGAGGTGCTCCGGGAACTTGCGCGCAACGTAGTGCGCGACAAAGTCGCCGCCGTGCCCGTCGTAGACGCCGAATAATGAGACGTCTGGCGCGTCGGGCAGGCCCAGTTTGTGGAGGTGGTCGTCCTCCATCTGCGCCCTCCAGCCCTGCAGGCCGGGGGAGAGGGAGAGGGCGTCGGCCTCGCGCTGGGAATCCGTCGGCGGGCCGGCCGCGGACGCGCGGAGCCGACCGGCGGCGCCGGCGGGGCGGGAGCGCAGCTCTCTCGCGTGGCTCCGCCGCTCCTCGGGCATCAGCCGCTGCGGCGCGCCGCGCGCGCGCCGCAGCATCCTCTCTGCCCGCGGCCGCCGGCTCGCGCGCCTGCATCGCAGAGACTCCGTACGAGAGGCCAGCTCCCTGCAGATCCTCGCCGACGTCGGTCTCCTTATCCGTGATGGGCGTGTCGAGGAAATTCCCCATCTCGGCCGCCCGAACCCTCACCCTACTGTCTGCGTGCGTCACCATCAGAACGTCGGCGGCCCGCGCAGAGCGGCGGCGGCGCGCGGCGGCGGCGGCCGAGGGGTTTGGCGGCGGCGGCGGGATCGCGCGGCGGCGGGGGGGGTGGGGTGCGATGGGGCGGCGCGGCGGGCGGGCGCGCGCCGAGTGCGATGGAGCGCCCGACCTGCCGATGCTGCAGGGTCAGGGTGGCCTTAGCTTACGGTGTGAACGCCCTCGGTGTGAAGAAGCGGCCGGGAGGGTTGCGTGGCTTGCTGGCGGGCGAGAAGATGGAGTCTCGTTCTGCGCCGGAGTCTCGTTCTGCGCGGGCGGGGTTTCATTAGCAGAGAGTCGGCCATGGAGCCGAGCAGCCGCGAGCTCGAGCACCTCTCCAGGCAGCTCGAGGAGGCCGCTCGCTCGTCGCTCAACGCCACCGCGAGCAGCCCCGCCATCCACATGCGCTGGGCCCTCCACCTGCAGCAGTGCCTCCAGCAGGTCAACATGCAGCGCAAGCATGAGGAGGAGCTCGTGCAAAAGCTCATCATGGAGAACTCGCAGCTGCGGCACTCGATGGGGATGCCGCCCGCGGCCTTGCCTCCCGGCATCCTGCAGGGCCCATCTCCGGTGGCCACGGTGCTGCCCGGCGCCACCATCGCCCCCGCCGCGGCGCCAGCCGAGCCATTTCAGGCCTACGCGGCTGCAGCGGTGCCCCGCGTCGCCGAGCCGCGGGGCCGCATGAAGGTGCAGCTGTGCGAGCGGCCCGAGCGCGCCTCCTCCTCCGCATCGTCGCGCGGCGGAGGCGGCGGCGGCAGAGGCCGGGGCCGGGCGCAGCAGCAGCAGCAGCAGCAGCAGCAGGAGCAGCAGCAGCAGCAGTTGCTCAGCGGGCAATGGCTGGGAGAAGGGGGCCTGCCGCCGCGGGACGCCGCTTTTAGCTCGGCCGCCCTCGCGGAGCAGCTGGGTCACGACGCGGGTGCCCTCGCTGGCGCACTGTCGATGACGCCCCTCCTCAACGAGGTGTCGACGCCGCAGATCGACGCGCTCCTCTCCACACCAAACTTGCGCATGCTGTCGAGCGTCCTGGACGGCGCGCGCTCCCCCTCCCTCCGCCCCGCCCCACCCTCCGCCGCGCCTCCCGCGCCCCTCCAAAGGAACGAGTGCAACCCTCTGCGCCCGAGCCCTCCCCCCGGCGCCCGCCCGCAGGGATGCAGCCGTCCGAGCTGCAGGCTTGCTACCGGTCCGCGCCTCCCCGCGCGAGAGCCGCTTCCGCCCCCTCCTCTTCCCACCCCCCCCCCCCCCTTTCGCAGGTCGGGAGAGACGCCCTCGGCGAGCACCGGCGTGGCAGCGGTCGCGGGGTCTTCAGCGGCAGGCGGCGACGGCGCCGCGGCCGCGCTAAACACGACGGGGGCGGCGCGGCGGCGGTCACCGGCTGGCGAGGCCGTCGCGCCTGCGGCGGCCGGCGACGGACGCCGCGAGCTAAAGTATCAGAGGCGGGGCAGCGGCGGGGGCGGCGGCGGTGGCGGCGGGTCCCTCGCCGCTTTTGACGCCCTCGCCCACCCTCGGCGGGCGGGCTGAGAGCGGGCGTCCCCCGCGGGGAGGGGCGGCGTGGCGCCGGCCTGCACTCCCGCGGGGCATGGGTCATGGGGACTGAGTGCGACGTGGGAGAGCCGTCGCGTCCACGGTGGCCCCCAATTCGCCACCCTGCGCCCAGACCGCCCAGGATCGGGGCACCCGCCACGTTCGAGCGTTCCTGGTTCGGATGGAGGAGGCGTTAGGGGCCCGACCGCGAGCCTGCCGGAGGCGCCCAGGCGGGGAGCGGCCCCCTGGAGCCGGGGTGCGTGCCGCTCGGCGCCACACTCGCCGCATCATCTTGCACATCTGAGAGAGACCCACGCTCGACGCTGTGCCTGTGGCTGTGGCTGTGCGGGTCTCCACTCTCACCACTCTGCGCACTGACTCTCTGTCTCTCGAACTCTCTCCGACTGTCGAACCGACTCCGTCTGCGGTCTGGGTCCCGGTCTGCGTCTCCCCGCGCGCCAGTTTTCGTTTTGTCTTTTTGAGCTACGTGATGAAGAGCAATTTTCAATATGCGGCGAGCGCCCGCCACCGGCGCCCGGTGGATTCTCTCTTGCGGGCCCGACGCGCCCACTAGGCTCTACGCGACAGAGTCAGAGGACTCCCTCTCGCGCGCGCACGACCCCGCGCGCCAGACACACAGTACGAGTCAAGACAAACCGTCTCTGCGAGGGCGGCGCTGCGGGGCCCTCCGCCCCGCCGCCGCCCCCGCGCCTCCGCCCTCCTCTCTCCGCGCGACGCTATTTCTGCGCTGTGGCGCTGCTGCCGCCCTGGCTCTGGGCGTTGGTCGAGTTGTTTTTGAGCGTCCAGTCGAAGTTGTGGTCGTAGGCGTAGCCCTCGCGGAAGAAGAGGTCCTTGAACATCTTGCGCAGGTACGAGTAGTCGGGCTTGTCGGCGAACTTGAGCGAGCGGCAGTAGTTGAGATACGTGCCAAACTCGCTCGGGTAGCCGCGGCAGAGGACCTCGACGGGCGTCGACATCTTCTTCTCGGAAATCATGTCGTACTTTTGCTTCTTGGTCGCAGCCTTGAGCCCCTGCCAGGGCAGCGAGCCGCGCAGGAAGTACATGAGCACGTAGCCGAGCGCCTCGAGGTCGTCCCTCCGGCTCTGCTCGATGCCGAGATGCGTGTTGATGGACGCGTACCGCGCCGTGCCTGCAGGTGGGACCGCCGGGGCGCGCGCAGCTCAGAGCGGCTGTCGGAGGCGGGCGCGGGGCAGGGAGGGTGGGAGGGGCTGGGAACTCCCGGAGAGAGGCCGAGGCGAGAGGAGACGGCAGCAGGGCGCCGGCTCGTGGGCGCGCGCACGCGCCGCGTGTGCGTGTGCGTGTGCGGGCGGGGAGCTCGGGCTCACCGGTCAGGTTCTTGTTCTCGCGGTACGGGATGTGCTGGTGCGTCTTGGGGTCGCGGTACTTTTTCGCGAGCCCAAAGTCGATGCAGTGGATCAGGTTGGCCTTGCGGCCGAGCCCGATCAGGTAGTTGTCGGGCTTGATGTCGCGGTGGATGAAGGACTTGTAGTGAATGTACTCGATCCGCTGCAGCAGCTGGTCGGCAATCATGAGGATCGTCTTGAGGTTGAACTTCCTGCGGAGGGCGGAGGGGCGGGCGGTGGGGGAGGGAGCGGCGGGCGGGAGGGCGGGCGCGCGTTCAGCACGGTCGGCGGAGCGCGGGGGCGGCGCGTGCAACGAGGCGCGCAGAGGGCGAGCGGGGAGCGTGCGGTGGCAGCCCGGCCATGAGAGATGCCCTTCCGAGGGGAGGAGAGCGGTGCTCCGGGGGCGGCGGCGCCGACCGCGACACGCGTCAGCTCCCCGCCCGCTGCGGCCCGCGCGCGGCACATCGCGCGCGCCGGAAGGGGGCTGTGGGGGTCTGGCGCGCCCCCGCGCGCGCAGAGCGGCGCCGCGCGCTGCGAGGCGCGCGCGCGGTCCTGCGCGCGCGCGGGGCGGCCGCGCGCGGCGGCCGGCGCGGCGCGCGGCGGCTGTGCCCGGCGCGGCGCGGCTCTCCACTCTCGGATCGGGCGCCTGTCACAGAAGTTGAAGAGATCCTCCAGCGACGGACCGAGCAGGTCCATCACCATCACGTTGTAATCCCCCTCGACGGTGAAGGAGCGGACGGTAGGGATGCCCACGCCGCCGCCCAGAATCTTGTACAGCTTAGACTCGTACAGCAGCTGCGGGTGCTTGCTCTTGATCGACTCCAGCTTGATCGCCACTTCCTCGCCGGTCGAGATGTGCGTGCCGAGGTAGATGTCTCCGAAGCTTCCCGAGCCGATCTTGCGGCCGAGCCGGTACTTGTTGGCCACCCTAATCTCCATGGTTGCCATGGCAGCTGCGCCCCCGGCCCGGAGGCCGCGGGAAGCGGTTGTGGAAAAAGCTGGGTCCGCCGCCTTGCAGGCTGAGCAGGCGGGCCTTCGGCGTGGAGAAGAATTCCAGCGCCCATGATGACGCGTTGGCCCCTCCGCAGGCGGCCTAAGGCAGGCGACTGGGGTTCCAAAATGTGATCACAAATGGGCCGATTCCAGCGCACCTGACGTCCCTCGCCACCTTGCGGGCCGCGCGCGCGGACTCCTCGAGAGCCCGGCGCACGGCCGCCTCCTGCTCGCGGCGCAGCTCTCCCCACGCGCGAGGCACCCGCGCATCTCGCATATTTGCAGCGGCAAACGCGGTCAGTTTCCCCGCGCAGACGAGATCATTGCGCATGCGTTCGATCGCCTCGGCCGGCAGCAGCGGCATGTCGTAGCGGTGTGATTTATTGCGCACTATATGATGGTTTCAAGAAAGAAGCGGGCGGCCTCCTTGAAGGATCGCGGTGTCGAAATCCGCCGAATTTTGACCGCGCAAGATATAAAGGGTGTCCTAAGGGCTCTGCTCGAAGGCGCCCGCGTCGCAAAGGGACAATCTTGTCTGTCGGCAGCCGAACTTGTGATGGGACACCCTCGGAATCCAACTGCGTACTACTTGGCTTGCACGCTATTGGCATACCGACGGCTAAGGCCGAAATCGGTTCACACCTGCTCTTGCAGGTGTGAACACAAAGGATTAGCTGTATCTACTCAGCCGCTCCGCTTACACTTACCTGTGATTCGCCTTCCTGGCACCCAGCGCTGGCTTCTGACTGTCGTTGCTGTCTCTCCCTTCTCGACTGTCTGTGCTTGTGCGTCTTGGGTCTGGGGTTGTGTTTTTGTGTGAAGCGTGAACAGCGTTTATGTGAACAGCGTGCCATTTGGTGTCGAACACCTCCGACAGAGACACAGCTGAGTCGACGGCTCCTCCACAGTCTGACTCGTCGTCGTCCGACGTTCAGCGATGCTGACCCAGCGTGGCCGAGTCGAGCCCGAATTCTTTACGCCACGAAAGTCTGGCGCCTGCCGCTCCCACGGCGGTAGCCTCGGCTCTTTTGACGAGCACTGGTCGATCACGGAGGCGGCGTGCAAAAGCCTGTGCAGGCAGAGCCAAGAGTGTCTCGCGTATGAAATGGCCGACGTGGGTATTTACAAGTCCGCGCTCTGCAAGACGCACAAAACTCCCGTCACCGGCATTCTACCTATCAAGGGCTGGAAATGCGTCGTGCGAGGCCAACAGACGGCGAAGCGCCCTCTCTTTAACATCCTCCCTCTCCCTCCCGCGCCGCCAGAGCCGCCGTCAGCGCCACCAAGCCCACCACCGTCGCCGCTGCCACCGAAGCCGCCGCCTCCCTCGCCTCCTCCGCCTCGCCCTCCCCCGCCTCCTCCGCCTAGCCCTCCCCCGCCTCGGCATCCACCGCCGTCGCTGCCTCCCGCGCCACCAGGGCCACCACCGCGGCGACCCGGGCCGGGCGGTCCGCCCCCCTCCCCTCTGCCCCCCTCCCCTCCCCCCGCGCCGCCCGCGCCGCCCACACCGCCGCCCCGGGCGCCGCTTCCGCGGCCGCCGCCCTCGCCGCCGCCCTCGCCGCCTCCCAACATGTGCGTGCAGCACCTCTACCCCCACGCCAACCTGCACACCAACCGCCCGCTCGAGTGCGTCACCCTCGCGCGCGCGGACCTGCGCGGCGCGAGCCTCCCCGGCATCGTCCTCGACGGCTTGAGCCTCCGCGGCGCCCTCCTCGCTTCCGGGCGCCGTCTAAGAGCCCTCTAGGAGCCCGTTCCTCCGTGTGTGCCGTAGGCGCCCTCCTCGACGCCGCCGACCTCTCCGGCGCGTCCCTCCAGTCGGTCGACGCGCGCGGCGCCTCCTTCGCCGGCGCGAGGATGAGCAAGGTCATCCTGCAGCGCGCCCATCTCGACGGCGCCAGCTTTGCGGTGCGCGCTGTGGCCCTCTGGTCTGGCAGTGCCTCTCTAGCAGTGCCCACCGAGAGCTCCTCTCCGGTCCGAGGGGCGCACAGGCGACAGGGTCACCGGTCTCGCGGGTGGTGCGCGCCCACGCCCCCTCGCCGCCCTCCTGGCAGGGGGCAAGCCTCCACAACGCCGACCTGAGCAGCACGACGCTGCACGGCGCAAACTTCAGCGGCGCCGACCTCGCCTTCGCGAAGCTGACAATGATAACCGAGGGGAGAGGGATCATCTTCGACGGCGCCGTCCTCGAGGGGGCCTCCTTCACCGACTCGTCCCTCGACAACGCCTCCTTCGTGCGAGCCTCGCTGCGCAAGGCCCCGCACCCCGCCCTCACACCTCCGCCACACACGCGGTCTGCCCGAGCCACAGCCCTGATGAGCACGGCGGCCGTGCGCAGGCGTCGATGGAGGACACGAGGAAATTAAATTACACTGAATTGAACTCGCAGGCGTCGATGGAGGATATGAGGCTCAGCCACGCGCGCTTCGTCGGCTGCGACTACAGCGGCATCTCGCTGGCGGACTCGTGGCTGACGCACGCGCAGCTCAGCGGGGAGGTGCCTCGACGGCCAGCCTGCACCTGCTCCCCTCTCGCCAGAGGCTCCTCACTCGACACTCCGGGGGACTCTCTTCGACCCCAGGTGCTCGACGGGGCCAACCTCGACCACGCGAGGCTGATGCACGCGAACCTGACTGGCGCGTCGCTCGTCAACACGGCGAGCTGCGCCTAGCACCCGCACCTGGCGCATGGCCGGGCGTGAGTAGCGTGTGGCGATTCGAGCTCCCGCGGGGAGGGAAGGGGGAGGGGGGGCGGGCTGCTGGGTTGCGCGAGGGGCGGGTGCCAGCAGGGCCTGAGGGACGTCACACCCATACACCAGCCCCTCCCTCACGCGCGCCTGCCGCCCTCCCTGGGCCTCGCTGCTATCCTCACTGCCGCCCTCGCCGCCCTCGCCGCCCTCGCCGCCCTCACCGCCCTCGCCGCCCTCTCGCCGCCGCCCGCCAGGTCCTCACCGAGGGGCAGCTGCAGCACGCGGTGGCGGTGGGCGCCGACTTTACCGGCGCCGCGCTCAACATCGCCGACTTTTACGACGCATCGCTGCAGAGTGCCCGCTTCGTGGGCGCCAAGCTCACCGACGCCAGCTTTGCCGGGGCAGCGCTCTCCGGGGCGGACTTTACGCGGGCGCGCCGCCCCTCTTTTCCGCGGCCCCCTAGGCAGCCCCCCGCCGTCGGTGGGCCTGCCTCCTGCGCCCGGCCCGACCTCGCCGCCACCGCGCACTCCCCCATCACACCACAGGTGATCGACCTCGAGAAGGCGCGCTTCCCCAACGCCACGGGAGTGGCGGTCGGCCTCCCTCCCTTCCCTGCTCGAGCACCCTCGCCCCCTCCACCCGCGCCGCCGCTTCTGCCGCCGCCACTTCCGCCGCCGCCGCTTCCGCCACCGCTGCCGCCGCGTCAGCCACCCTCGCCCCCTCCGCCCACGCCGCCGCTGCTGCCGCCGCCGCGTCCGCCACCGCTGCCGCCGCGGCCGGCGCCGCTGCCGGCCGCACCGCCGCTTCCGCCCCAAGTTCCACCCCTGTCGTCGCCATCGCAGCCGTGCGCGGGAGGCAACCTCACGGCTTGCTTGAACCTGATGTGCAAGGCGCCGAGAATGCAGGTGGAATGCGGGAACCACTGTCTGAACTGCTACCAGTTCAGTGGACTGGGCTGATGTGTCTCCGCTTTGTCCCTCCCTTGAGAATGAAACACACGCACGAGGGGAAAGAATCTTGATTACAACATTCTTCGCTTGAAGTCGCACTTTTTAATCTTTATCGTTTTACATGGCACCAGCGACCAGGGGGTCTCAGTCATTATATAAAAACCTCTCACACCCAGGCAGGCAGGCGCAGGGCCGGGGAGCTAAAAGAAGCGCACCCAGCGGGCCGGATGCTCGGGGGCGGGCTACGGGCAAGAGAGAGTAGAGAGAGCCCTGACCCTAGGCTAAGGCGTAGCCTAGGGTCACCCTTCCGCCTTCGAGCACTTTGGAGCAGTGCAGTCATCAACTCCAAACACACAACTCCCATCCAGGATTTGCGAGACTTCTTATGAGTCTACTTAAAATTCTTTTGCCGGGGGCTGGCGCTCTCGTTCCGCGTTAAAACTTAAATTCTTTTGATTGAGCTAGCCTTCGTTGTTAATATGAAACAAGAAGGGACACACACATGACAAAACAAAACAAGTACTCGCTCTCTTTTATGTCCCACCATGCAGAGCGCATCTCTCTCTCTGTTGTGCGAGGCGTGAACCGCGCCATTCGCTCTCACCTGGCAACCCTGTCTGCACGTCTCGCGCGCGCGTGAACAGGCAGGGCTCCAGGCCCCAAATGACGAGTGAGTGTTAGAGTTGTTTGGTATTGGACGTATTTGTCCGGACCGTCGATGCGGGCGCGGCGAACGCTCGTTCGACCATCGTAGACGACGCCCTCACCGGCGCCCTCGCTCGCGTCGTCGTTGGCCTTGTTCGCGGCCTTGTCTGCTGCCCCCTTCTCCCGCAAATCGAGCTGCGCCCGCACTGCCGCCATCGCGTTCGTCGCCTGCGAGGCGACCTTCGCCACCTTGGCCTTCCTCTCCCGCTCTGCCGCCGCCTCCGGGTCCTCGCGGCGGTCCGCCAGCGGGTTGTCAATCACCCGCCCGCCGTCCCGGCGGTCCCGCAGCTCGCGCACATCTCCCTCTTAACCCACCTGTAACATCACATAATGGTATTGCTAAAAATCTCTCACACATGACGCCGCCGAAAAAAAAAAAGAGAAAGGAGGCAGGGATGGGAGGACGGCACGCCGCCACCACACAGGGATTTTAATCGTGCCAGTGTGCTTTTTTTGAGAAAGAAAGAAAACAGATAACCCAAACGAGGGATAGGGGAGGAGGACAGGGTCCACACCCGCACGAGCTTTTTTTTGAGACTTAGGTGATGTAGAATTCTTTTGTAGAACGAGACAGCCACCTTGGCTGTCTCACCTCATCCACAGTGAACGCCAGACTGCCGCTTCCCGTCTATGGACACAAACGAGGAGCCAGCACCCCGCGAGTTTTTCCCCGGCCTATCGCGGATGATGACCCAGATAGCCGCCGACCTGCGCCGTGGCTCTGCTGAGGCTGCCGCAGACGGCCCCGAGAACTGGGGCTCCCGCCCGCACATCTTTGAGGCGGGGCCGAGCGCGAGCCCACCGCCTGTGCCCAGCGGAGAGTCGACCGACGGCGAGTCGGCCTGGGGATCGCTCGGCATCCTCGAGGGCTCCGACCGCCTTGGCGAGGAGAGCTCTGACCGCGTGAGTGACCTGCAGCGCAGCGCGCGGCCAGGGCTGTATCCTCCGCTTTCGGCACATGCAGGGCGCCGGGCGGTGCCTGGCGAACGGCTTCCGCCCGAGCTGCTCATGTCCAGCTCCGCGAGTGCGATCCTCGTGCCGACCTCGAGCAGCGGCCGGGAGAGCCTCGCCGATCGGCTCACGCGGCGGCGCGTCGACTACGCGCTGCGCAACGGCGGCGCAATCAAGCCGAGCGGATCCTTCCTCGGCAGCTCCTTCACCGACATCTTCTCCGCCATGGCGGACCGCCGCCAGCTGCAGGCTGCCGGGGCTGCACGAGCCCATCTACCGGGACCCTTCCCGGAAGCTTCTCGGACCCTTCCCCGTAGGTGGCCGAGTTTGGGTCGTCGGAGTGGGTGTTCCGCAATACCGTCTCCTTCTGGGTGGGCGTCTTCTTCGTCGAGGGACCGACCCTACCGCAACACACGCACACACACACCACACGCACGCATGCACGCACACACGCACAACAGCCGCAGCGCGCTCACTCAACGGACTCCTCACGCCTCACCACACACCGAAAGCCTCCCCCGCGAGCCGTCGCCTCGCCCGAGCCGTCGCCTCGCCCCGCAGGCTCGATCCTCTTCATCGTCGGTGCGGCGGCGTCCGCCTTCATGCACGGCGCAGCAAAGTGGAAATTTCAGGCGCCCCGCCGACCGCGCTTCAAACAGGAGCACGAGGCTGCCGCTCACGGTTGAGACGGTTGAGATGGTTGAGATGGATGCACCAGGCGCTCGTCGGGTACCCGTACTTTGTCGGCTCGCTCACCTACACCGCAGGCGCGTACATGGGCTACTACGAGGCGCGCGAAGCCGCAGCGCCCCACCGCCTCGCCCCCTCCCCACCACCTCCCCGCCCGACGCCACCACCGCCCCTCGGCGCAGGTGATCAACGTGGGCCGCGCAGATCGGCGCCTCTTCGGCTGCACCGGCGCCACCCCCGCCGGCTTCTGGGGCACCACCCTCTACCTGATTGGCGAGCGCCGCCCTCCCTCTAAACCAAGCCATTGGCGCGGAGCCACGGCTCACACTTTTCTGCCCGTTGCCCGCTGTAGGCGCGCTGTGCTTCAACGTCTGCTGCGCCGCCACTTTCGTCTCGCCCGACACGCCCGAGGGCGAGAAGCTGGTCTCCGTGTGGATGGAGGGCGTCGCCGGCACCGTCGGCTCCCTCCTCTTCGTCCTCGCCGCTCTCATCGAGTGGGCTCACAACGCGGACGCGACGCCGCGGCAGCGCGTGTTTTGGCTCTGCTCCTCCTACTTCCTCGGCTCGGTCCTCTTCCTGGTCGGCTCGGGAGCGACGCTCGTCTTCGGGGTCTGCGAGTGCGCGAGGCCAGGCGCACCCCCACCCACCCACCCACAAAAGCCCCGTCTCAAGGCACACGCGGCGAGGCATCCTCGCCGCCTCTCGCCCGACCGCCGCCCTCTCTCCGCCCTCACCTCTCTCCGCCTCCTCCAGAGCTCACCATCTGGTGGATCGACTTCCCCTATTGCGCCGGCGCCGTCCTCTTCCTCTTCGGCGCGTGGGTGACCACGCGCATGTGGAAGGCCGAGCAGTTTGGTCTCGCCTTTATGAACGAGATCAACAACTTTGCGCCCACGGCTCCAAACTCGCGCACGCCCGAGGACGCGACGCAGAAGGCGGCCACCGCCGTCTACATGGCCTTCGCCGCGGTCTCGCTCCTCGACTTTTGCTCCCTCTCCGCGTGGCACGCACACGAGGCGCCGCACGGGGGCCGCCTTTGTTTTCCCACCAGGTTTCCCTCCCGCTTCCCTCCGGCCTCCCTCCGGCTTCCCTCCGGCTTCCCTCCGGCCTCCCCCCCCCCCCCCCCCCCGCCCCTCGTCCGTCCGCTCCGCCGCCTCGCCCGCGCCCGACCGCGCCGCCGACTGCGCCGACAGATTGGCGGCGTGCACCACCCAATCATCTTTTCGGAGGAGTTTCTCACCACGACCACAAACTTCGTCGCCGCCCACTCGCTGCTGCTGCTCGTCACGGTCGTGCACCGCTCGCCCGCCGTCTCGCCGTACAAGTACCTGATGTGGCTGATGCAGCTCGTCGCGCTGCTCTACCTCTCCTCCATCACGCTCCGGTGGCTAAAGTACTTCACCGACCCTCGCTACTTCACCGACACGCCCTCGGACCACGAGCCGGAGGTCGAGGGGGGGCTGTGGGAGCAAAAGGAGGCGCTGGAGGCGGGGTCGGGCGTCGAGTTTACGTTTAGGGAGTGAGCGAGCTAAACCTAAAGCAAGGCAGCTACCGAGTTCTGGTAGGTAAGTAAAAATGTGCTGCCGTGCTGGCCACATTCGCCCGCGCCCTGCGTGACTCCGGCACACTCGTCCGCCACTCAGATCTCAGTCCCCACTCGCGTCCCACGCACGCCCCGCGCCCCGCGCCCCCACGCCCCTCACCCTGCGCCTCACGCCTCCCTCCCCACCCTCTCAGGCATTTCTGTTCTCGTCCCCGCTACTCGCCGACTCCTCCTCCCCCCCCGCATGACCGACGAGTCGAGGGGGGGCTCCGAAAGGTCGGCATGCCTGGCATGTCGGCTTACTAGCCTAGTAGGCAGGTCATTGGCCTCCCCCCCGCCAAACTCGGCCATTCCAACGGCCAGACCGCTCGCGTTAAGGCTGATTGGCTAGACGAGCGGCCTACCTCCAACGGGGCGGACCGGGAACGCGTGGAACCTGCCCACCTCGGTGGGAGGTGGTTTGGCGCCGACGGACCGCCCTCTCCACCACCCTCGCCCAGGGATCTACAACGCTGTCTTAAGGTCCGACCTGTGGGCTCCGGCCTGCGCTCGGCACCGGGCACCGCCTCGGTATACAAACAAAATGCGCCTGCGGGCGGACCCTCACACACAGATCACAGATCACTCGGGGGCACCCCACCGTCGTCTTGAATCGGTTGAATGTTGAAAGCTCACAATAGCGAAAATACACGCGAACCGGCGGGTGGGCGGGATGTCTGTGGGCCCGAGAGCGATCGGCCCTGCAACAGTGAACAGATGCTCAGCTTGATTGTGAGTTTGTTGCAGGCCTCTTCGGGCTTTTCGCGGCAAGCATCCCCCCACCGCGACAATGCTCATACTCGCCTGCTTCGCCTACTCCCTCTCCCCCCTGCTGAGGCCGCTGCCGCCACTGCGGCCTCGCACTCGTCAGCCCATCGCCTCGGAGCCCGAAGACCCATTCGTGGTGCTCGGCGTGAGCCGCAGCTCGTCGCTTGCAGAGGTAAGAAAGGCGTGCACTCCTGCTGAGTCCAACGATGGCCGTGCTTCACCTGCCATTGCTACAGACACACCACCACGTGGGATAGGCGTATCGGAAGCTTGCTCGAGAGGTTCACCCCGACGTGGGAGGCACGCCGGAGGCCTTTCGCCGCGTGACCAAAGCCTTCGACGCCATCCTCGGCGGTCGGCGGACGATCGACGCGACAGGGGTGCGGCGCAAGGCGCGCGAGCGGGCGGCGGCGGAGTGGGGTCGCGCCTCCTCCTCCGCCTCCTCCGCCTCCTCCTCCGACCAGCGGAACGAGAGGACGGGCAGCAGGCGCACGGCCGAGGAGGAGACTGCGGAGGCCTCCGAGCGGCGGCGGGGCCGGTGGCGCGAGTCGCTCTTCGACGCGATCTGGCGCGATCACATGCCGCTGCGCGCAAAGGCGTCGCAGGAGGCGCGGCCCGCGTTCGTTCGTGCGATGGAGCGCGCGACGCAGGCCTTTGTCGACGGCGGCGTGGCGCGAGCCGAGTCGGAGGAGCTGGCCAGCCGGCTGGAGGAGTCGGAGCGGGCGCTGCTGCGCCTCACAAACCGCGAGGTGTGGGGCCCCGGCGTGCTTCGGCGGTGTCGTTTGGGCCGCGGCGCGTCCCGATGCCGCGTCCGTGTCGCGTCCGTCAGGTGCTCGAGGTCGAGGTGGCCGACGTGAAGCAGCGGCTGCAGTGCCACCGCGCGCGCGTGCGCCACCTCGAGGTCGAGATCGGGCGCGCGCAGGGCCGCGCCGAGCTGTGGCGAGGAGCGGCGCCCGTCTCTCGCGACGACCGCGTGCAGGCCATGGAGCGAGAGCTCGCATTCCTCGAGCAGGCGAGAGAGACGCCTCCGAGACCCGACCCAGAACGGACCGCTCCTGGAGGCTCCCCAGGCACCCTCCTACGGCTCCTCGCCCCTCTGCAGGCGGCGCGGCTGAGAGACAGGCTAGACGAGCAGCGCCGCGCCATCGATCGGCTAAGGTTCCTGCAGGAGGCGCTGCAGGCCCGCGTGGCGGAGGCGCCGCCCCGCGAGCGCGATTTCGCGGCAGACGTGCCGGTGAGCTGACGGTGACGCGTTCGACGTATGAATTGTCGCTGGTTTTGGATCCTATCTTTTTCTACGGTCTTTAGACTCTACGGACGAATGAGGAATCAGGAATGTGGAGCGGTGCTTTACGCTGTGACGCAGTGGACTGACTGTACTAATATCATCACTGGGCTGCGATCAGGGACGTCGGCGACGCTCACAACAGTGGCAACACCCCGAGCGTCTGGAGGAAGCGCGCTGCGCGGTGAGGCCAGCTGCAGACCGCGAGCCCCTTTGGCACGGTCGGCTTCGTGCAGCGGCCGTACCCGTGGCCGCCCTCTGGGTAGACGTGCAGCTCGGACGGCGCGGCGCCGGCCTTCTTGAGCGCGAGGTAGAAGTAGAGGCTGTTCTCGACATGAGCGGCGTCGTCCTCGGTCTGCGTCAGGAAGGTTGGCGGGTTGCGGCTGGTGACGTTCAGCGCCGAGGCGGCGTCGGGGCCGGCGCTGACGGGCGGCTCGGTGACGCTCTCCCACGGGTAAATCATGAGGACAAAATCGGGGCGGCAGGGCCGAGCGTCGGCCTCGTCGACGCGCGGGTAGCTGCGGCTGCGCCACGCGACAGAAAGGTGTCCTGCGAGGTGGGCGCCCGCGGAGAAGCCGATGACGCCCACGCGTGACCCGTTGAGGCCGGGCGCTCGCCCGTCGGCGGCCCACTCCCGCACGAGGCCGACTGCACGCTGAGCGTCCATCAGCGGCGCCGACCCAAACGGAAGCCACGCGCGGCCGGGCACGCGGTAGCGCAGCAGGAAGGCGGAGACGCCGACCGAGTTGAGCCACGCAGCGATGTCGGTCCCTTCGCGGTCCCAGCTGAGGAACTTGTAGGCTCCGCCCGGCGCGATCACGACTGCCGAGGTGGCGCCCGCGACTAGGTACGGCGTCAGGGTGGGCACTGTCACGTTGGAGATGGATCGGTCGACACATCTTGCGACTGGGACGCCGGGAGTCTCGCACCCTTCCGTCTCGTGCCCTGTCGCACCAGTGCGCTCGCCTGGCGGCACACCCGGCCAGAGCGGGATGGGCGCGTGATCGGTGAAGGCAACGGTGGCGAGTGCAACGGGTAGCATATACACACACAATAGCAAGCAAGCAAGCTTGTCCGCCCGCCGCGCTACCCGGTAAGCGCAAGCGGCGGAAGCCATGCGGGGTAGGTAGGGTAGGTCCATGGCCCTCCCGGTTTTTTGTTCACGCGCGCGCGAGACGTGCAGACAGGGTGTCGTCATCATCTGTCTCGCGTCCACCCATACCGCGCTGGTGTCCAGTCCGAGCCTGGCTGTTCTTCACCTTTCTACCTACCTACAGGGTTGCCAGGTGAGAGCGAATGGCGCGGTTCACGCCTCGCACAACAGAGAGAGAGATGCGCTCTGCATGGTGGGACATAAAAGAAAGCGAGTACTTGGGCGAGTAGGCCGTGCGGTCGACGCTGCCTCGCGCGACTTTGCGCGCGAGGCGGCGCAGCTTGAGAACGGCGGTGGGCGAGAACGGCGCCGCCGCCGAACGTCTCGTGGAGCAGCAGGTTGAATGAAGTTGTTGCGCTTGACAAAGATCGCGTCGTGGTAGAAACCGCGATGCGCCTTGACGTAGCCGTGGCCGGTCTTGTCACTTGTGGGAGAAGGGTTGGCCGGGCTGCCCGCGCGCCTTGCAGCCCACATGTTTAGGCGGCGGGCCTTCTCCTCGGTGTTGCCGAAGGCGTAGGAGTGGCCAACGGAGGCGGGCGTGCCGCCACTCGAGGCGTTGCCAACGCCCGTCGAGGAGGTCTTGACATGAGGAGGGGCGTCCAGAGCTTGACTTCATTCCACCTCATGAGAGCCTCATCCGCATCCTCCCGGGCCAGCGTGGGGTTCCGCGAGCGTTTGTCGCGAGCGTTTGTCAAGTGGGTGATCTGGTGCTTGTAGGGCTTGAGAGTGGCCTGTCATGTCTCAGGAAGGACTGTGGTTGCAGGAGAGAGTACCACCAACCATCACTTTAGTTGGTATAGTAAAAGAAAGAAAGAAAACGGAGAACCCAAGGGAGGGATGGGAGGACGGCACGCCGCCACCACACAGGGATTTTAAAGAGAGGGGTGTGGTGCGCTAGCCGTCGCCCACCCTTGGGCGTCCGCCTCTAGTTGGTATAGTAAAAGAAAGAAAACAGACAACCCAAGGGAGGGATGGGAGGACGGCACGCCGCCACCACACAGGGATTTTAAGGAGAGGTGTGTTGGTGCGCTAGCCGTCGCCCACCCAGGGAGTCCGCCTCTTCCTATCTCTCTTCGCAGTCTCTCTCCGATTCTCGCTGCAACCTTCATGCCACCTCGCGGTCGTCCCACTCTCGTCGTTCTCTCCCTTGTCATTTCCTCCTCTGTCGCGTCGTTCCCTTCTAGTTGGTATAGTACCCCACCTTCACCCGTCCCATGGTTTCTTTTTTAGTTTCCCATAAGTAGGGTAGGTAGGTAGGTAGGTAGGTAGGTAGGGGCAGGGGCCGGCCAGGCTTTTCCAGAATTTCAGCATGGCTGCCGCAAGACGCAAAAATAAACCCAAGAGTGGTGTGGGAGGAAACCCTGGCCGAGCTCCACGTTGCCCGTCGACGCCCGTCGACGCCCGCCTCAATCTTCACTCGGCGCTCGAGCCCGCGGAACGCGCGCATGTGGTGCGCGGCTGACTGCGTGACGAAGTGGAACTCCCCGGTGCTGAAGCAGCCTTCGTGCCCGCGGCCACCGTCCAGCTTCATCGCAGACCGGAGAAAGGGCGCGGCGTCAGTGGGCAAGGCGACGAGAAGCCGCGGCGCCGCTCAGCCACAGGCCCGCACGACGCGTGAAGTGATCGCCGTCTCTGTCGGCGGGGCTGGCAACTCTGTCGGAACCCAATTTTGGGAGGACATTTCGATAGAACATGGTATCGACCCGACGGGCACGTACGCTGGAGGTTCGGATCTCCAGCTCGAGGTGCACACTTACCGCCCCCACTCCCACCACCACCACTCCCACCAACCGCCCCAAAACACAACCGAGATGATGAGAGGGCCGGCCGCCCCTCGGCAGTGCGTCGACGTGTACTACCGAGAGGAGGCGAGCGGACGCTACGCGCCGCGCGCCGTCATCGTCGACCTGGAGCCTGGCACCAGGGACTCTGTCCTCGCGCGCCCCTACGGCGGGCTGTTTAGCCCGAGCAACTTTGTATTCGGCCAGACGGGTTCAGGCAACAACTGGGCCAAGGGCCACTACACGGAGGGGGCTGAGCTCATCGGCACCGTCCTCGACGTCATACGCAAGGAGGCTGAAGCCAGCGACGCTCTCGAGGGCATTCAACTGAATCACGCCATCGGAGGCGGCACCGGCGGCGGCTTGGGCACGCTCCTCATCTCCAAGTTCCGTGAGGAGTTCGGAGAGCGCTTCGTGTGCACCTTTTCAATCGCTCCCTCGCCCAAGGTGTCCGACACCGTCACTGAGCCGTACAACGCGGTCCTCTCCTTCATTCAGCTCGTCGAGAACGTGGACGCAACCTTCATGTTTGACGAACAGCGGCTCTACGACGTCTGCTTCCGCGCTCCGCTCAATATCACCGCTCCCACCTACCGTGACCTCAACCAGCTCACGAGCGGCGCCATGGCAGGGATCACCACTTGCGTCCGCTTCCCAACCGCGCTCAACTTTCGCGATGTGGCCAACAGTCTGGTTCCCTCCCCGCGCCTCCACTTCGTCACCCCGGGCCTCGCGCCGCTCACCCGCCGCCCACCGGAGCACGGTGGCCGAGCTCACGAGCGAAATGTTCCGCGAACGCAACAAGCTGGGCAGCTACCGCGACGCGCCCAACAGCAAGTACCTCGCCGCCGCGGGCTTCTTTCGTGGAGGCATCTCGGCCGCGGAGCTGGACGAGCAGATGCTCCGCGTGCGGAGCGCACACTCGAGCCGCATCGTCAACTGGATCCCAAACAACATTCAGCACTCGCACTGCGAGATCCCGGCCAGGGGACTCGTGGCCTCGGCCGGCTACGCAGTCAACTCGACGGGCATTTCGACGATGTTTGGGAGCCTCCTAGAGTACTACAGCTTGATGTTGCGCCGCAGGAGCTTCCTGCACTGGTACACCGGCAACGGCATGGAGGAGGCGGAGTTCGGCGAAGCCCAGGCGAACATGAATGACCTCATCGGCGAGTACCTGCAGGCCCAGGACTCGGAGGGGCCACCCGCGGGGTGGAGGAGCCGGTGATGTCTATCGGAGAGCCGAACGCGACAGCTCCTGAGGCCAACGCGCAACGGGCGAGGCGGTGGTGCGAGCCAGTCGTGGTACGCGTTACGCATGAGTAAGTAATCGTTATTCGTGAGTGAGGATTCTTGAGCTTATCTTTCGCTCCCGTGTTTTGGCTTTTGGTTTATTAGGTGCCCCTCTTTCCCGCAGAGCGCGCCCAATCCCGAGACAAAAAAAACTCCCCACAAGTGCTCCTGTGCTCCAAGGAACCGTAGACGGGAAGGGGCGTATATGATGGCATATCGTACTTGTACTTGTTGTGCTCTTCTCCAACACACAACACACGACATACGAGGATCGGGTCTGCCTCTCCGACTCGCTCCCCCGCGCAACACGTCAACACCCTCGGGGGCGGCGCTGGCGCGACGCCGTAGGTCACACAATGACCTCTACTCGGCGCCGCTCAGCTTGTCTTGCAGCAGCCCCACCAGCTCGCGCAGCTTCTCATTCTCGCTGCTCAGCCGGTCCACCTGGCAACAGCACGCTCGAGTCACCGAGACGGCGAGGGACTCTCATCCACGGGCAAGCCCGTACCTCTGCCGCCCGCTCCCGCAGCGAGCCGATGATCTTCTCCTGTCTGCCGATTTGCGCCTGCGAGGGTCGGGCGCGGGAGTGTCGGCCTCCCCACTCAGATGGGCCGCCTCAGAGCCCGTCACCGGCGCTCCTGCTGCTCCGCGGCTCTCGTGGCGAGGTCGGCGACTCTGCGCGCAGGGACGTCGCCCTGCGGTGAGAGCTTTCCACTGCTTTGCCGGCACCGCTCGAGCTCTGCGCGCAAAGCGGAGACGAGCTGGTTGTCGTTGTCGCTCTTATCGAGGAGCAGCTTGAGCTTGTCGCGCCTGCGAGGAAAACGTCCCCGCCTCATACGGACTCATGCCGCCCGCGGCCCGCGCTCACTCGTGTCGCGCTTGCTGCGGACGTCCGCCTCCAGATTTTTGATGCGGGCCGCCAAAGCGTCGGCCCGCCGCCGCGACTCGTCGAGCTCCGCGCGGAGCTGCTGCTCCACGACTAGCAGCCGCTCGTGGTCGTGCCTTCGTTCCTGCTCCATTTGCTGCAGCCGCTCCCTCGCTCGCTCCTCGCCCCGACTCCCCGGGCTCGAGGGGCCTCCCGCCAACCCGCCGTTGTCTGTCATCGCGCGCCGCTGGGCCTCCCTCAGCTGGTCGCGCAGCAGCGAGATTTGCTCGGCCCGGCCTCGCGCCCCTGAGCCGCCCTCTAGCAATCGAGCGGCGCCATCGACCGAGCCGACCTGTGAGGGCGTGCTTGGTCCTGTTGGACAGACGGGTTGCGCTGGATTGGGACAGGCAGCCCCGCACACCTCCCGCTCGAGGGCGCGCTTGTACTTGGCCAGCTCCGCTCTCGCGCCCTCGTACGACAAGGAGAGCTCCGCCAATCTGATCAGGGACCGGACAGGCGATTCATCTCGAGTGGGCGGTGTCGCGGCACTCATGAGCGAGCGCACACCTCGCGTTGGTCTCTGCGAGCCGCTTTTGCGCCTCGCGCCGCTCTTGCCCCGGCGACGCTGGTCCGCCGTTGACGCCGCCGCTTTCCTTTGCGGCCTCCCTGGCCTTGAGCTGCTGCCTCAGCCCGGCGAGCTCCGACGCCAGCTGCGCCGCTTGCGACCGCTCGCGACCGAGCGCCATCGTCGCCTGGTGGGACAGGAGGGCTCCCCCCTCGGGCCGGTCCGCAGAGCCCTCTCCCTAGCTGCGCCCTCACTCAACCTGTTTGCACTTTGCCGCGAGCTCCCTCATCTTGTCCTCTCGCGCCGCCGCTGCGACGCCATCCCGCTGCGCAGCCGCGGCCGGCGCGACGCGCGCAGCCGAGGCGCGCTCGTTTGCAGCCTACTCGGACGTGGTTGTGTGGCACGGTGTGCCAGCATGCCCACACTTCCACACCCCGCTCGGACCCACTGCGCCTGCATGCGAGCCTCCTGCAGCTCGAGGTCCTTCTCCTCGAGCTGCAGCTGCAGCACAGCCACCTTGCGCTGCAGGTACTCTGTCTCGCCGCCGCCACTCCCGCTGCCTCCACCGCTCGCGCTGTGTGGACCCGTCCGGCGAGGCGGAGCCGGCGGCGGCGGAGGGTGATCGCCGTCGTCGGAATCGTCCTCGGCGATCTGCGCGCGCCAGAGCGCCAGCTTCTCTCCGTCGCTCGCCGACGGAGGGTCGGACGCTGGCGTTCCGACCGCCATGTGCACAAACACAGGCGTCGTTGCAGACGTTACAGTTACCGAGGCGGGCAATTTTTCTGAGCGCCTAAGTAAGGGTAGGAAACAAAAGCAACCGGCTCCTCTTCTTTGTTCAGTGCAGCGTATAGCCTGCTGCCGGGCCCATCGTCGCATATTGCACCGAAATGTTTTTAAACAGATCCCTGTGATCCCTTGTATTCTTTCTTCTTTGGACTTTCGACTTTGCACTTTGGACTTTGCTCCTTTTCATCACTCACTAAACACCCCCTCGCAGCTTAGCTCCAGCTCCAGGAGCCGCGCCGCCGTCTTCTCGTCGAGGGAGCCGTGAGGCTTGAAGGCGTCCACGAGCTCGGAGGCCGTGGGCAGCCGCTCGTGCCGGCGGCGAAAGCATTGGAGGATCGTCACGAGACGCTCCGCGCGGCCTGCCGCCCTCGGCGTGGCAGGGGCCTGCGGCGCGGGTGCCGCCTCCGGAGGAAAGCACCCACCCTCCCCACCCGTCCCCGTCCCTGCCGGCGTGCCACCGCCCTCGCCGCCCTCGCCGCCCCCTTCGGCTCCGTGCAAGCGCACGGACTTGGGCGGATGCGCCCCTCCGTCGTCGCCAGTGACGCTGCGGGCAAAGACCCCGCTCCCAAAGACCCCGCTTCCAAAGACCCCGCTACTGCCGCGGCTGTCGCACAGACTGCCCCTCGAACGCCAAGCGTCCTCCCGCGCCCGCTTGGCCGCCCGGACCGTCTCGTGTAGCGTATCCATGTAGCTTGCCGACAGGTTCATTTTCTGTGGCGTCTGCGGCCGCTCTGGGGCGGGCTCGCACAGCCACGGGTGGCGGCGCATCTCGTCGGCGGTGGGCCGCGCCTTTGGGTCGACGGTGAGCATGGCGGTGATCGCCGCCCGAGCCGCCACGCTCACGTTTGCAAACTGCTCTCGAGGGAAGCGGAGGAAGCGCTGGAGCGGCGCGTCGAACACCGGAGACGCGGCGGGCGAGGAGTCGCTCGCCGGGGCAGCGACCGGCGGTGGCGGGATGTGCTGCGGGGCAAACGGGTAGGTGCCCGACAGCAGAATGTACAGGACGACGCCTGAAGCCCACACGTCGACGCCCGCCCCGTAGGTGGTCGGGTAGGGGGCGTCGCAGAAGATTTGCTCCGGCGCGCGGTAGAAGCGAGTGCCCACGCAGCTGTCGCACCTGTCGATCTCTCTGCCGGCGTTGGCGGTGACGCCACCCGCGGTGTGACGGCTGAAGGAGCCCTCCAGGCCGAGGTTTGCAATGCGAGTCATGGACGTCGCGAGCGAGTCTTGGTCGGAGAAGATCTTAACGAGACCAAAGTCGGTGATCACGACGTCCCACCCGTCCGCTCCCTCGAGGAGGATGTTCTCCGGCTTGATGTCGCGATGGATCACGCCGTGTTTGTGCATGAAGGAAAGCGCGTCGAGAACCTGCCGCATAACATGCCGCGCGCCCTCCTCGGAGAAGGCGCCTCGCTCGATGATGCGCTCCAGTAAGGCACCGCCGCCCGCCTTCTGCATCACGATGTACAGGCTGTGCGGCGTCTCGACGATCTCATACAGCTTGACGAGTCGAGGGTGGGTGAGCTCCAAGCAGACGCGGAGCTCATCGCGCAAGCGGCGCACCACGCGCGCCGAGTCGCCACCCTGTGACGCGAGAAGGACCTTGTCCAACACCTTGACCGCTCGCTCGTCCGAAGCGAGCGGCTTGCGCGGCCGCGCGGAGAAGACCACCGCGTACCCGCCACGGCCGAGTTCTCCGAGCAGCTCATATCGTGCCTCGAAATCTGCGTCCGAGCTGAGCAAGCCAACGTTGGCGAGGTCCTCGCACAGCACGCTCACGTCGGGTGTTGGGGTCGTCAACGAGAGGCCTAGCATGTGTGGTGGGTGGGCGAGCAAGCGACGGCTGCCGTGGATGGGGGTGCAACACACGCCGCCTGCGATTGGTTGGTTAATGGTTACAAACCGGCAATCCCTTGCTGCGTCGAATCCAACCATAGCTCGCGCACCTGCGGCCGCTCCTCCCTCCCCCCCGGCCTTCACTCTCACACACACTGCTCACAGCTCCGCCTTGTATTTTGGCTTCACCACCTTCTTCGGGCCCGCTCCGCCCGAGGCGCCGCCGCTGCCGCCGCGGCCGCGGCCACGGCCGCCGCCGCCGCCGCCGCGCGCCGCGCCCCCAAACATGGCCAGCATCGGCCCCATCGTCTCGAGGAGCGTCGCCGCCTCCAAAAACTGCTTCTTGAAGGCGGCCACTGCGCGGTACGCCTCCTTGCGCGAGACGGAGCCGTCGCCATCGCCGTCGAGCAGCGCGACCGCTGCGCGCAGGTTCTCCGCGGTGGCGGCCTCCTCGATCGACGCCGAGAGCGCGGGCGGCTTGATCGGGTCCGTCTCTAGCAGGCCGACGACGGCGCCCAGCACCGGCTGCGAGAGGGCGGCGGTCTGCTCCTGCGGGGAGAGGGAGTCGTCGGCATCGGCGTCGATCGCGTCGAACACGCCCTGGGCGAGGTCCTTCAGCGAGCTCTTCATCCGCTTGTGCGCCTGCGATAGCCATTTGAGCTCCGACCGGCTCAGCGTGCCCGAGCTGTCCACATCCATCAGCTTGATCAGCTGCGGCGCGAAGCGCTTGGCCGCGCGAATCTTGGCCGCCATCTCGCTCGCCGCGTCGCCACCGCCGCCCGCGCCGCCCGCGCCGCCCGCCATGCCCATGCCGCTGATCGCCGCGAGCCCGTCCAGCGTCGTGGTGATCTCGGAGAGCGTCACCTTGCCGTCCTTGTCGGTGTCAAAGACCTGCTCCACCACCTGGTGCAGAGGCGCGGCCGCCGGAGCGCCGCCGCGGCCGCCGGGTTGCGACAGCGCGGCCAAAGCGAGCGCGAGCATGTGCATTGCACAAAAACGTTGAGTGACGTGGCACGAAAAAAATTGTATCCCAGATAGTGCCAGTGCGCGCCAGTCCCGTGCCCAGTGTTGTGGCGAGGGAGTTATTACTCCAAATTACTCCAAGTGCAGTTGGAGTAGCACCCTTGGGTTGGCCGTCTTCTTTGTTTCTTTTCTTTAGTTGGAGTAGCAGTGGGCGTCAGAAGACTCGTCCTTGCTCGAGGAGAGCTCGATAGACTCGAGGGGCCAGGATATGCAGCAAGGAGGGCGGAGCTGCGCCGAAAGGCGAAAGAAGCCGAGAGAACAAGGGAACGGCAGGCGGCGGCGGCGGCGCAGAACGAGGCAGAGGAGAGCGACGCGACAGAGGAAGAAGCGACAAGGGAGAGCACGACGAGAAGGGGGCGACCGCGAGGTGGCACGAAGGTTGCAGCGAGAATCGGAGAGAGACTGCGAAGAGAGATAGGAAGAGGCGGACGCCCAAGGGTGGGCGACGGCTAGCGCACCACACTCCTCTCCTTAAAATCCCTGTGTGGTGGCGGCGTGCCGTCCTCCCATCCCTCCGTTGGGTTGTCCGTTTTCTTTCTTTCTTTTGTTGGAGGGCAGAGTTGCGCCGAAAGGCGGGAGAAGCCGGAGGCAGACGAGAACGACGCGACAGAGGAGGAAACAACAGGAGGGAGAACGACGAGAGTGGGACGACCGCGAGGTGGCATGAAGGTTGCAGCGAGAGAATCGGCGAGGGACTGCGAAGGGAGATGGAAAGAGGCAGACGACCAAGGGTTAGGGTGGGCGACGGCTAGCACCACACTCCTCTCCTTATAGCTTATAAAATCCCTGTGTGGTGGCGGCGTGCCGTCCTCCCATCCCTCCCTTGGGTTGGCTGTTTTCTTTCTTTTTTCTTTTTTTAGTTCTAATAGTTGGCCTCTTTGTAGGGAACAATTTGATACCCGTCAAGACACCTGCTGGGGGCAGCTTCGTAACGAAGCCGTCTGCTCCCCACTTGTCAAGCAACAGCAGGCGCTGGCGCCATCAACGTAACTCTCAACGTATCACAACGTTCCTCCCTAGTGATGTTGACCGGGCGGGCGGGAGGTTCTCCATTAGTCAAAGAAGCCTTCTCTGACGGATGAATGGTATTTTAACGCCGTCACCCAGGCGAGTATGAGAGGTATTTTAATGCCGTCACCCAGGCAGAATGGTATTTTAACGCCGTCAGTCACCCAGGCGAGCATGAGTGGTATTTTAATGCCGTCACTCAGGCAGAATGGTATGTTAACGCCGTCAGTCACCCAGGCGAGCATGAGTGGTATTTTAATGCCGTCACTCAGGCAGAATGGTATGTTAATGCCGTCACCCAGGCGTCTGCCCTGGGTTGGCGTACTCTGGGATGGCCCTGATCCCCTCTCCTCCCTTGTGCTCACACAGCTGGTGGTGTGAACGGCGTCTGATCCCTCGAGATGAGGTCAGGGAGGGGCTGGAGCCGAGCCACATGCACGAATGGCGTCGCTGGGGCGGTCTCGCAGAGGTCAGTCGCTGCTGTGGCGCGGCTTCCCCATCCCGCCCCGCATCCCGCTCTCCCTCATGCTGTAACCTGTAAGTCCGAGAACGCGTCGTACACTATGAACCCTCCTGGGGGGGGGGGGGGGGACTGTCGTCTGTGTGGCGCCTCCCCCGCCCTCCATTTTCCTATTTCCTTGGCGAGCCAATGGTTGGGTAGTAGGGCTAGAGGGTCGCTCTACACTCTTACTTGCCTCTGCAGCGAGCGAGCGCTCAACTTAGCCCCCGCACGGAGCCGGGCTCAGACTTAGACGCTGTATGGTCGGGGGCCATGAACTTAGACGACACGAGGCCAACTCCGGGTAAAACCCGGGTATACCTGCAAAAGTCCAGGTTTACCCGAAAAATACCTGGACGCGTCCCGACCAACTTATGCCGTGCACGACGCCATATCGCTTTCTCCCAGGGCCAGTGCGCTACTTGCGGCGCGCAACGCCTGCTCAAGTACGCGCACCGTACCATGTGCTGTGCCGCTATGCGTGTCTTAAGGCGGCTGCGGCGAAGCGGCGGGCGCGGCGTGCCGATGGCAGCGCGGACGATGCGGTTGCGATGTGTTCTGCTTCAAGATCGTGGTGGTGTTTGGCATGCACTTCTGCGATCCCAATCAGCTCATCGCAACGAAGCAGCGCAACAAGCTGGCTGCTGCCAACAAGGCCCTATGCTACCTCACGCGCGGATCGTTCAAAGAGGACCAGCGCATGCACAGGCTTCTGTGACATGCGTTTCATTGTTTGAGCTTGAGGCTATTTGTGAGAACTGTTTGGCGGCTAGAAGATTGCGCTCAAGAAGCAGCAACGAGAATCGGCAGAGGAGGATGCTGAGCGGCGATTGCTGAGCACGAGAAGGATCGATCCGGATTCGTAGGGCCCGCCGCAGGCGAAGAAAATTTGAGGGCAGCGCCGTATCGTTGATCACGGTGGGAGCCTCTTGGCCCCAGGCCGTGCCACAGCCGACTTAGCCCGCATAAGAGGCTCCCGCCGATCTTAGACCGCGTAAGCACCCCAGCGTGCCACGGCACACTTACTTATAGACCCGCCAAGCCTCGAGGCTCAGGACTTAGACTACTACCCAACCAGTGGCGAGCCCCCCCTGGGGTCTCGACACTTCGGGTTGCGCTCCGTGCTCCGCCCTTCAGCGGCGGAAGGCGGGCTGCGCCGTACCAGCTGCTCATATCGGCAGCTGGCTCCTCTGGCCCCATCCTGAGAGAGAGGGAGGGGCTGAGCTGGTCGCGCAGGAGTGGTCGCTGCACGCTGGTAGATCTGTGGGCGATCGCCGACTCCCGTCTCTGACCTCATGTTTAGATTCCTCGCAGAAGTCGCTTAGGCGGCTCCCGTGGAGCCGTGGTGTACCTGGGCCTGTCTGTGTTAGTGCCAGTGCGCGCCAGTCCGTCGTGCCTAGTTAGGAGTCGGGTGAGGTCACGCAGATTTCTTGGTGCCGTAGAATTCCTACTTCGCCGGGGTACCCAGCCGTGCCGCTGCCTCGCCCGGCAGCGGTCGCTGGCCCCGCCCCAGCGAGAGCGCGACTCCTTCAGCAGTGCCAACGTCTGGGCGCGTCCATGCTCACCCTGGGCACCCTACTCGCCGCGTCGTACGCGCCGTCGCCGCGTTCATCGCCCTGGTCTCCGGCCCGCCGTGTCCAGGAGCCGCTGCTCGCAGAGTTTGACGTCAACGCCGCGGTAACGCGCCTCAACGCGGCCGTCGAGCGGGAGGACTACGCCGCCGCCGGCAGAATAAAGGCCGAGATTGAGGCCGGGCGGGGAAGTTCCGGCGCGGCAGTCGCGCCACTCGTCTGGGATGCGTCGGCTTTGCCCGCGTGGCTGTTGGCGCGGGTTGAGGACCTCGGCTTTCGGTTCCCGACGCCGGTCCAGGCCGGCGCGCTGGCGGCTCGTCGCTCCGCGATTCGCGACACCGTCCTCAGCGCGCCCACCGGCTCGGGCAAGACTCTCGCCTTCTCCGTCCGCCTCGTGGTCGAGGTTGCGGAGCAGCTCGAGGAGCGCGCCTCGCTGGCGACCGCCGCGGTGAGCGCGCTGCTCGAGGAGGCGCCGGGTGGGCTCTCGCCCACAGAGGCGATGGGCGCGCTCTCGCCGGCGCTGCTGCTGCCGGGCCGCGACGAGAGCGGCGACGCCACTCTGCCGGCGCGCGGGCCTCCCGCCGGCCTGGTCGTCGCTCCGACTGCCTCGCTCGCGGAGCAGGCTCGAGTAGGAGAGGGAGAGACTGCTCTGGTCGCTGGCCCTGCTGCTACCTCTGTCTGGAGAGCCACGCCCTAGGCCGCCCGGCTGCTGCACTCGCTCGTCGGCGGCTACTCTCGCGAGTCGCGCACATACGACCCGGGCGCAAAGGACTCCCTCTTCAAGTTTGGAGGACCAAAGGCGGTCCGCGTCGCCGCCCTCTTCACCGCGGAGGAGGGCGCCGCCGCAGCGGCCGCCGCAGCCTCGGTGAGGCCTGCAGCCCTCGCCACGCGTCCCTGCGGCCCTCTTCCCTCGACACAGCGCCACATCGGCCCCGCTCGTCGCCGCCGCAGGGCGCGGGCCCCCTCCGCGATAGCGAGCTGCTCGTCGCGACGCCTGCCGCCGTCGCCGCCGCCGGCGAGTCGCTGGACCTCTCGGCGCTGCGCATCGCGTGCGTCGACGAGGCGGACGCGTGCGACGGCGCCGCCCTCGACTCGCTGCCTCCGGCCGCCAGCCGGGTGCGCTGGCCCCTCCGCCCCCTCGAACCCTCGCAACCTCGCCCCCGCCCCTCGCCCCACCACCCCTCGCCCCACCACCCCTCGCCTCACCACCCCTCGACCCTCCGCCCCTCGCTCCACCGCCCCTCGCCCGTCGGCACGGGCAGGTGCTCGTCGGGGCCACGCTCGGCAGAGCCGTCGCGACCGCCGTCGAGTCTGGCCGCGTGGCTCCGCCCGTCCTGGTCGACGGCGGCGGAGAGGTTCGCTCGTGGGCGGAGGACGACCTCGCGCAGGCGCTCTGCCCCGCGGGGATCGAGCACCGCTTCTGCGTCGCGCCGGAGAGCGGCGACCAAGCCCAGGCGGCGCCGCGCTCTCTGGCTGCGTATCCAAGACACGTGCCACGACCCGGCCCCGGCCCCGTCCTTTCCAGGCGCAGCTGCAGCTGCTCGCCCTCGCACGGCTACTGCGCAACGACCTGCGCGAGTGGGCGCGGCTCGGAGGCGCCGACCACCCTCGCCCACGCGCCGTCGTCTTCACATCCGACGCCGCCGCGGCGGTGCGGGTGGGCGCGGCGCTGCGCGACAGTTTGTGGGGCGAGCAGGCGGTGGCGACGCGCGCTGGAGAGAAGGACGGCGAGGTTGGCGCCGCCGCCTTCAAGTCGAAGCGCGGCAACGCCGGCAAGGACGACTTTGAGTCGGTCGTGAGGGCTGGTGGGGCGTCTGTGCTGGTGGTGCCGCGAGCCGAGGGGCGGGGCTTGGACTTTCCTGACGTGACGCACGTCTACTGCTTCAACCTCGGTGCACGCCGTACTGCCGCCCTCGCCTCGCCCCCTCCCCTCGCCGGCCGACCCTAGCGCAGACCTCTCGTCGGCACCTCTCCTGCAGGCTTGGGCGAGGGTGACGCGAACGAGTACGCCCACCTCGCTGGCAGGACGGGGCGCGTGGGGCAGGCGGGGCAGGGGATCGTCACCAGCGTGCTGAATGCGGACCCGGACTGGCCCGTGGCTCTCAGCGCGTTGACCGCCATTGTGTGCGTCGTCGCGCGCGACACCACCGGCCGGAGCCTCGAAGCGGTCGCCGTGCCGTCGCTCGAGGAGGACGAGGACGTGCGCAAGGGGCTGGACGACTTGCTCGCGCTGACCGAGGAGCGGGAACCGTCGGAATAGGCAATAGCTCTGGACTGGCTGATAGCATTACGTAAAGGAAGCTGCACAAGAGCACCATGATGTGTGTGTCTGGGAGTGGTGCGTGTGTGTTTACACCGGCATCGCGAAGATCGATGTTGATCACATCCAAAGCCGTGTAACATGTACCTTGTACGAAAGAAAATTTATTTAATTGAAAAACACGAGACGCAAATATGAAATAAAGAGAGCGGTCCGCTCGCGCGAGGTGGACGAGTGTGTCAAAGACGAAAGAGGAAATGCGCGGCGACCGATATACACACGGTATATTGATTTCGTCAGTGCTGAGCACGCCCGACGAATATTGATCACAGCGATGTCGGTGTGCACGTCCCCTGTCGAGGAGTCAACTCTGCGCCCGGCTCCTTTTTGCACGCACCTTCCCACTCCCTCAGCGCCTCTGCAAAGCCAACGTTGGGCCGGGCGCAAGTACGCCGCGCACGGACGAGCTTCATCGCGTCGGCTGCGGTCAGTCCCAGCTCCAGCATGACGTAGGCCGCCGCCACGGTTGGGGCGCGCGAGATGCCGGCGCCGCAATGCACAAACACCACGCCGCCCTCGGCCCTCGAACGGCCGATGAAGTCGGCGGCGGGCGCAAAGTGGGCCGAGAGGTTCGCCGCTGACTCCGCGCGATCGTCGCAACGCGCGTAGTAGTGCCCCCTCACAAAGGCGGGCAGGCGCCGCTGATCACCAGACACCACTGACACCACGTGTGTTATGCCGCGCTGCCTCAGTGGCTGGCAGTCGTTGTTCAGCGCCGCCCACCCGCCCACCCAAAGCCGTGGCATGACTTCATGCAGCAGGGCCAGCTTGTCGGCGCAACGGGCGCGGGCGCGGGCGCGGGCGGCGGCGCACCGCGGCGGGAGCCCAGCCGCAGCCGCGGCCTCCTCAGCCGCCGCGAGCGCCGACGCAACCTCCTCCTCGTGAGCGCCGTTGGTCGCTGCCTGCAGCAGACGGGTGGTGGCCGCCTGCAGCGCCTCGTGCTCCGAGCCTGCCGAGGCGGTGGCGGTGGAGACGTCCAGCGAGTCTTGAAGCTCCACCGCACGCGCCACGCGCTCCAAATCGACTCCTCCCTCGCCGAGCGCGCGCTGCGCCGCCTCTCGCTCCCGCCTCGTGTCTTCGGCGGCTCGTCGCCACGGCCGGGATCCACCGCGCGCTCGGCCGGGGCCGACGGGGAAGTCGAGGCGGACCGCGCTCATATACACATACATAATATATCCGTCGCGCGCGGTTACACGTTTCATTCACAGCCTTGTTATGAGAAGAAAATACGTCCATGTGCTATGGCGCTATGCGCTGGTCTGTGAGAGGTTGAGGTGCGAGCCCTGGAGGCCCTGGGGATGGGGGGAGACTACCCGCGGGCCTAGAAGGCCCGCGCGCAGGGGGGTGGGGCATTTTGGCCTGTATCCATGTTTCCGGAAACCAAAAAGGAAACGAGAGGGTCCCCAGCACTTTGCGTTTCCGGAAATTTCCAGGGAAACTAGAGGGTGTTTGGTGCTCCATTCTGGCAACTTGAGCACTTGAGCACTGGATAGGGTCAATTCCGCGTGGTACGGGACCCCTCGATCGTCTCGCCCTCCCTCACTGGTGTGTTCATCGGGGGGGGGGTCATAACAAACACGGTACAGGATCGAGGTGCACGCTGCCGAGGCAGTGTCGTCCCCCCTCTCCCCGGCGGCGATGGCGGTGTGACCGATCGAGCTACAAGAGGAGCTTGGTCAGCAGGATCCGGGATGGTCAGATGCACTACCTCACTGGGCCTGAGACCATCGTACGACGCACCCATCACCGTCTCGGATTTGTGTGGAGTCGAACCACTCCGGGATGGGCAAGCCCATCAATCTTGTTAATTGTCAAAATTCCTGTTGTGCAAGAGGGGAGGGGGCTCTGACGGAGTGCGTGGCGGGAGAGGGCAGGGAGTGGGCGTGGGGGAGGGGGGGGGGGGGGGGGCTCAGCCGTGCAAAAAGCATCAATTAATAATAGTAAGGAAGACATGTTGCCCGGCCGTTGAAGAAGTCCGTCTCGATTTTCGTTTTTTCCCCACAGACCACTCGGGCAACTTTTCAAAAGGCAAAGTTTTACTTGACCACTCGACCACTCGGGCAACTTTTCGAAAGGCAAAGTTTTACTTGACCACTCGGGCAGATTCGATTGCATTTTACCACTCGGGCAAACTCGATGAAACGGGCGGACGGAAACGCGTTTGCGACGGCTCGCCGGAGAGCATGCATGGAGCGGCCGGTGCGCCGCCGCAGCTCACCGATGGAGCCTGCGTCGCGGCTCAATCCACTGACGTAGCAGCACTGCGACACACTCTCCAAGCGCGGCCTCTGGCGTTGCGATTGCACAGAGAGCGAGCAATAGGCGCCAAAAGCACAGATCTGTGTGCAGTGGATTTCCATGTAGGTCGCGCCCAGCGAGCGGGCAACCGCGGGTCTCGGATGCTCTCCCGGACGCGAGCCCACCGTGCGAGTGGCGGACCCGGAGGCGGCCGGCCCAGCTCACCCCCAGAGAGGCCATGGCCAGGGTCAGGCATAAAAGGGGGGTGTTTTTCCGTCCGTCCAAAGAATCTGGCAACTCGCGAGTTTCCCTGAGTCTGAGAGCTGGTCTGGGGCAAAATCTGAGGCGAAACCGAGGAACTCGGCAAAATACCCAGCCGGTCGCAGGGTAATTTCCAGGTATACCCCGGTATTTTGCCGCTTTGGCTGATTTTGGGCCCAAACCAGCTGATTTCCACGGAGTTTCCTCGGGAAACTAGAGAGGAAACGAGAGGGTGCTGTGGAGAAACACGGAAAGGAAACGAGACGGGGTGCGCGAGGAAACATGGATACAGCCTAAGGGGCATTGAGACCGGTCATGAACGAGTGCGCGACACGCATGTTGCGAGCAGCGTTGTTGATGTTCACATAAACGCACAACCCCGGGCCCCGAACGTTTCATTCACAGAAAAACACAACCCCGGACCCAAGACGCACAAGCACAGAGAGAGATTAAGCAATACCAAACAACTCTAACACTCACACGTCATTTGGGGCCTGGGGAGCCCTGTTCACGACAGGGTTGTCAAGCACAGACAGTCGAGAAGGGAGAGAGACAGCAACGACAGTCACATTCACGTGAATTGCAGAGGATTTTTTCGTGGCTGAGACTACCATGATAAAAGCCCTTTTTGCAAGAAACACAAAAAGCAACCCCGCAGGGCGATACGCCAGCCAGCTGGTCGCGGCCAAGAGAAGCGATTTTTTCGTGGCTGAGACAATGCTAAAAGCTTTAAGGTCCTCCGGGCCCCTTTAGGGAGGCAAACCCTGGCCGGCCCTTAGAACCCCAGGTAAGGCCCAGGTGTGGCCTAGGGCATCAGAAGGGACCAAGAGGAGTCCAGTATAATCTTCAGATATTTTGACGGATGACAAAAATCACCCCGTTTTTGCCCATTTTCGGTCATCCGTCAAAATATCTGAAGATCCCTCTATAGGATTCTCCCCAAACCTTGCTCAGCTGATCCAGCACGGGCCGTAGGCCAGCCCTGGGCAAAGAAACCAGTACCTCATCGGGCTTCCCTGAGCGTCACAGCTCGGTGATCGCGCCGGCCGGACACCACTGTGACGTCCGTTCCGGGCATTTGAACGCGACCTTCGGGGGCAAAGACATGGGCTCTATGGCTCAGACTGGACTCCTCTTGGTCCCTTCTGATGCCCTAGGCCACACCTGGGCCTTACCTGGGGTTCTAAGGGCCGGCCAGGGTTTGCCTCCCTAAAGGGGCCCGGAGGACCTTAACAAAAAAATAAAAAAAGCAAGAGTTTGTCGGGACGGTAATCGGTGGACGGAATGTGCATGTGCACGAGGGCCTCGCCTGCCTCTATACCACCACCGGACGTCGCCACATTCGTCAGCCTCCCTCACGACCTGTTGTGCCGGATCTTGGCTGCGGTGCCGAATTTCGACGGAGCGAGCTGCCTCAATGCAATCGGATTGGCGGCAAAAGCTTGCTCTGCTCTTGGCGCTGCGGCGGCCGACGAGGAGACGTGGCGGCGCGTGGCCGTGGCTCGGTGCATTGGCGTGACGCTGCGAACGGATTCGTGGCGCGAGGCTGTGCTCGGCGCGCGAGAGGCCGCATGCGAGCGGCTGACGGATGCCTCTGCCGGCGTCGCAGTGTGTGCGTTGCCGATTCGGGTCGCCTCGCCGAGCCGAGACGCTCCCGTCGTCTCGATGTCCTCCTGCGCGGCGCCGCTCGGCGTCAAGCAGCGTCACTTTGACGAGGTGACACCGCTCGCCCAAACGACTCACCCACGGTGCCGCCCCTCACAGCCGACCCTCTCGCCCGCGCCTCGCTGCCAGGCGGTCGAGCGGCTCGGCGCGTGCCTCTTCGACGGATACACGCGTCCCTGGGTGGCGGACTGGCTGCTGCGCCCGCAAGCCATCAGCGAGCCCCTGCGGGCCCTGGCCCTGTGTCACGCGGCTCGCAGCAGCAAGCCATCCTCGCTCGCCTCCCTGCTCGCCGCGGTGCCGCCCCGCACGCTCTCGCGGACGGTCGAGCTTCGTGTCTCCTCCTTCAGCGAGAAGCGAGACTGCCGCGGCTTCCGCGCCAGGTGCGTCTCCCTTCCCTGCCGGCCTGCGCCGTGCCGCCCTCTGCCACCGTCTCTGCCACCTCTGCCACCTTTCCGCCGCCTCCCCCACCTTCGCACCCTCCTCTCGCGTCCGCATTCTCAGGGACGAGCGCAAGACGCTGACGGCGAGCGTGCTCGAGCTCGCCCTCTCCGAGGACCGGCACCCGATCTGGGCCACGCTGCGGCGGGGCGTGGTGATGGAGGCGTGCCGTAGACCCTCGGCACACCCCGCCTCTCGGCTCTCTCCCCCTCCGAGAGCGCGGCCACGACACGCCCGCGACACGCCCGCTCAGGTGCGCGACCTGACGCTCTCGAGTGCAGTCGAGTCGCCCCTCTCCGCCTAGGGAGGGTACCATAGGGAGCCGCGCCAGCCACCAGAGCCCCCTCGCCCCACCGCTCGGCCGTCTAGAGGCGGCGCCGCAACCCACACAGCCGCACCTGTTGGCCGCTTGTACACACTCCTCGCCTGCTCCCCGACACACTTGCACTCACACGTATCGCGCGATGGGACGGCTCGACTTTGCGCGCCTGGGCGCCTGACGCCTGGTCGCAGGCGGTTTGCCGTGTAACGGTGATCCCTGATCGGTGTGTCACGCAGTCTCTCCCTTCCAGTATGGACCCAGTATCCAGAGTGCAGAGAGGCCCAAGTGCCGTGTGTATACTGGGTAATAAAACTTTGAGTGAGGTGGTGCATCTGCGTGAATTGTGCGCTTTGCGTGCCGATATGTCTGAGACTCTCTGTGACACTCTCCCTCGTCCCTGGTGTCCGTCTGTGTGCCTACATTGTAGGCCGTCTGCGTCTCACAATGTTCTTCATACAAATGCACATACGTGTGCTCATTCAAATCAAATCGCTCTCCGAGCGAGACAGGGACGGCGCTCACATAAGTGATGTGTCATGCACACAATCATGCCACCACCGGCACGGCGGAGCCCTGTGTTTCATCCGCCGCAGTGTCCGCTAGACGCTGCGTGGAGAGGGCCCCGCACGGCGGTACGGCCAACCGATCCCTTGCCGCGTGCGCAAGACGTCTAGATCTAATCGTGCGCGGCGGTGGCGGCAAGGGTCGAGCATTCTACGACGACGCTCTACGCTTCAAGGTCCTCGGGGCGCTATGCTCGAGAGGGAGCCAAGCCAAACGCATCGAGTCGTCCGTTGCTGTGCGCGAGTTGCGCCTCACTCGCCGCAGCCGTGATGCCGTCGGGCGAGCCGGACGCCGCAGCTCTCGAGACCGCAGAGCACAGAGTCAAACGAGACGACCGAATTCTCATCCACCTGCACCGGTGCTCGACAGGCTGGCGCGTGCGTGTCTCGGCCGCGGGGATTGGGCTCTCCCGCGCGCCTCTGCGGCCATCAGAACGACCTCCTCCTCATCCGCCCCCGAGAGATGCCCCAGCCGGAGGCGCAGCGCGCGGGCGGGCTCTCCCTTGACCGCCTTGGTGCGCAGCGTCTCGTAGCTCGCCTGGTGTCAGTCCGAGCTGAATGTGTCAGTCCGGCTCTAGTCACCGGAGCGGGCGGCACAAGCTCGCCTTGACGACCGTGGTGAAGCCGCGCTCGATCGAGCGGCGCAGCGCCTGCTCAACCGGCTCCACCGACTGCCTGCTATCTGCAGCCTTCCTCGACCGCGGCCGCGCGGCGACCAGAACCGTGCCCGGCTCGGCGTCTTTTGACGTCGCGACACGAAGCGAGAGGCCGTTGTCGAACGCGAGCCGGAAGCAGTCGCCTTCCGTCACCTCCTTGCCCGTTGCCAGATCCTTGATCGCCCGGTCGCCGAGGCTGTGCTGCGGGTTCTCGAGGGGGCTGAATGGAGGTTGAGCTCTGGAAAAATCGGCGGCGGTGGTGGCGAGCGCGAGCCACATCCAGCAATGGCGGAGCGGAGCGTGATTGATGAGTGTGAGTGGACAGGAGCTTCGGTGTCATCAGAGCACTACGGTTTTTTTGTTCAGCGGCGCGGCCAAAACTGGATTTTTCTTTTTGCGCAATCATCTCTCATCAATGTGGCTGCTCTCCTCCGCGCTCACGCTACACCTTCCGCCTGCCTACCTCGCCCCCTCCTCTCAACCTCTCACTCGCGCGGCCGCCGCCCACCTCTGCGCCGCGGACCGGCCTTCGGAAGAGGAGGCCAAAGCTCGCTGGCTCGCGGGGCAAAACTCGCAGCACAACCCGCCGCCACCCTCCGCTGCCGCGTCGGCAGCTCAGCGCTCGGCGGAGGCGGAGGCGAAGGCGGCGTGGCTGGCCAAGCAGAGCCAGGCGGCGGCCGCGCCGCCACGCGTCGGGGGCGCGTCCGGCGCGCAGCCCGCCGCGGGACCCGCCCACGCGCCTCCGCCCATCGACGCAGAGCAGCGCAGCCGCTCGCCCGGCCTGCAAAACAACTTTTACGACATCCCGACCGCAGACTTCAAGCGGCCGCACGGAGCCGCGCCGGCTGGAGAGGCGCCGGGAGGAGCGCCGGGCGGAGAGGCGCCGGGAGGAGCGGAGCCGGCCGCCGAGTGGGAGGAGGCGCCACCCGCGGGAGGGAGCGGTCCCGGCGCGACCGTCCCCGCGGCGTACGGCGCCGAGTCCCCTGTGCCCGGTCGCGAGCGGGAATACGAGGCCTTCAAGGCGCAGGCGGGCGCCTGGCCTGTCCCGCTCCCGCTCTGGCCCTCGCCCCTGCCCGAGGGAGGCCGAGGCGCGGCCTTTGGCCCTCCGCCGACAGAGGCGGACCGGAGGGGGCGGCAGCCCGGGCCCCGCGGCGGCGCGCACGAGCCGGACGGGTTTGGCCACGAGCCTCGCGCCGCGCCGCCGGCGGGTGGCGGAAGGAGGGCGGGCGGTGCTGTGTTTGCGCAGCAGGCGCCCGCAGGCTACCGCGGGGCGGGGAGGGGCGCGCACTACGAGCCGCCGCCCATGGACGCGGCGGACGCGGCGGCGGCGGCGGCGGCGGCGGCCCACGCGGCGCAGGAGGAGGCGCGCGCGCGCTACCGGAGGAACCGGCTCAACAACCGCGCGGCGACCTCCTCGCCCCCCGCGCCCGCCCCGGAGGCGCCGGCCGGCGGCGGCGCTGCCGCGGGCGCGCAGTCCGCCACGCGAGACGCCGCCGCCGCGCCGCACGGGCACGCTCCTCCGCCCGCCGCGCCCCGCGACTCGTCGCTCGCTGTGGGAGGAGGCGGAGGAGGCGGTGCCACCCCTCCCCGAGGGTACGGCCAGCCCTCGCAGGAGGAGCCGCTGCCCGGCCGAGAGAGAGAGTACCGCGCCTTCAAGGCGGCGCAGGCGGCGGGCAGCCAGCCGGCGGGCGGGCAGCCGGCCGGCGGACCCGCCCACGCGCCTCCGCCCATCGACGCCGACCGGCGCAGCCGCTCGCCCGGCCTGCGAAACAACTTTTACGACATCCCTACCGCAGACTTCAAGCGGCCGCACGGGGCAGCGCCGGCCGCAACGACGCACGCGGGCGGGTCCGGCCAGCCGCCGCCCGCCGGGCACGGCGGAGCGGCGGGCGGCTACGCCGGAGCGGGCGGCTACGCCGGAGCGGGCGGCTACGGCGACGCGGGCGGCTACGCCGGGGCGGCGGGCGGCTACGGCGACAGGGCGTCTGTCTTTGCGCTGGAGGAGCAGGCTGCTGCCGCGGCCGCCCACGCGAGGGAGGAGGAGGCGGCGGCGCGGTACCGCAAGAACGCGGCGCAGGAGGAGGCGCGCGCGCGCTACCGGAGGAACCGGCTCAACAACCGCGCCTCCGCCTCCGCGCCCGGCTCCGGGCACGGAGCGGCAGGAGGCGGCACCGCCGTCTCTGGTGCAAACGACGCGTTGATCGAGAGCATCTGCATGACCATCGACGCGCTCGCCGCCGTCACGGCTGGCGACCCGGCCGTCGCGCGCCGGCACTTCGACATGATCCAGGGCCACGCCGCGGCGGCGCTGCTCAACGGCGGGCGGGAGGGGCAGCCGCGCCGGCGGTAGTCACCGCACACCAAATCTGCCCGAAGCCCGCCTCCCATGCTAGACTGGGGCCGGCCGTGTCATTAGGGGACGTGTGTGCGTGTGCGTCGCGGGTCGCGCGCCAGAGTCGCGCGTAGGGAGCTGGCCCCCGGGTGTGTGTCGGGTGCGACTGAGAGGTGCCTCTCGTGCGAGGGGCCGGGGGTCGGCTCGCGCTGGTAAATAAATAAATAGAGCAGTCATCTCCCGTAGAGATGGGCAACGCACGAACACAGAGGTACAGTGCGCGCTGGTGTCCCGCTGTCCCCAGTCGGGATTCTTTTCTCGTCTCTCGGCTCTCACTCGCACTCCTCGCTGTCGAATGTTCAGCGGCATCGAGAATTTTGACACGCAGGACGGGCCGACACTCGTCGAGATCCACGGCATGCTCGCCTCCGGCGCGACTGCAGAGCTCAAGTACCGCGCTGTCGGCGGCGCCGAGCTGCCTCGATTCCCGCCGTCGCGACAGGGCGCCTTTGGCTTTGCACTTCCCGAAGGCGCGCACGCGGCGGCGCCGCCCCCCTCGCTCGCCGACACTTGGGAGGGCTCGGACGGCGCGTTTGAGCGCCTGCTTCGCGCTGCGGGCAAAGCTTTTGGCGCAGAGGCGGCGGCGCCGCCGCCGCCGCCCACGGGCCGCATTCGTGCAATCGGCTACCAGAGCCACCCGCCCGTGCTCGCGGCGGTCGGCACGGCGACAGGGCCGGAGCGGTGTGCCCGCCAGCCGCCCGCACACCCACGCATCCTGCCCTCCTGCCCTCCTCCCACCGCGCCGCCCCTGTGGGCCCCTCTCGACAGGCGCGCGCACCTCGCCGCCGTGGGTTTGGAGGACGACAGCGTCGCCCTGTACGACCTCTCCGCGCAGAGCTGGTCGCCCACCCGGCTCGCCCACGGCGGTATGCGCAGCGTGACTTGCCTCGCGTGGCAGCCGCTGGCCGCCGGAAGCCTCGCCATCGGGGCGGGCGGGGGCTTGTTTCTGTGGCGGCTCTCCTTCTCGCTCGCGGGCGGAGAAGTGGGCGGCGCCTCGCTCCTGCAGCGGATCGCCTCGCCCCCCGTCGCGGCACTGACCTGGCACCCGCTCGGCGACTGGCTCGCTCTCGGCTCGCGGCACCGGCCCGCCGTCGCCGTCTGCGACCCGTCGCGCCGCGACGCCGCCGCCGCCGCCGCCGCCGCCGCCGCCGGTGACGGTGAGGCGGGCGGGTGCGACGGGTCGATGCGGCTGTGGATGCGCGGCGGGGGCGGCGGGATCGCGCTGGTGAGCGCTTCCCCGTGCGGCGCCCTCCTGCTCGGCGCGGGCACGGGAGGGACGCTGCGCGTGTGGGAGACGGCGGGCTGGACGTGGAGCACGTGGCGGCGCTTCGCCGCGCCGTGCGACGCCGCGGCGTGGGGCGGGCCGCCGCCGCTAAGCGCGGACGCGCCGCGCGTGCTCCTCTTCGCTTGCGGCGGACAGCCCGTTTTGCACGCCCTCCGCTTCGGCTTCGCGCGCCGCGGCGGCGGCGCTGCCGCTGCCGTCACGAGCGAGTACGTCGGCGCCTTTGACCTCGCCCTCCTCGCCGCGGCGCCGGGCCTGAGCAGCGCCGCGCCAGCGCCGCCCTCCACGCCGGCGGCGGCGGGCAAGGCGCCCGCGCGGCCGGCCGAGCGCGCAGTAGACAGAGAGGACCCGCAGCCGCGCGGAGCACCGGCCGCCGTCGGCGCGGCGGGCTCGTCTCGCGACGCGCCGCCAGCAGGGGCGGCGGGCGGGGGCGGGGGCGGGGGCGGGGTTGGGGGCGCGAGGCGGCGGTCGGACGAGCGGACCAGCCGAGGCGCCTCCATCGTCTCCCTCGCATGGTCCTTGCCTCAGAGCCTCGGCGCGGGGAGGCTGGCGGTCGGCTGGTCGGTACCGCGCGGCGAGGGGGTGGTCAGCCTCTTCTCCGCCTCGCTGCTGCCCTCGCTGCAGGCCTGCCCCCCTCGCGCAGCCGCGAGGAGGAGGGTCTCGTCCCGCGTCTCACTGTCCGCCCCCCCTCCCCCCCCCCACCCCTGGAGCTGCAGGTCCGCGCACTCGGGCCAGTGCGTGGGCATGCCTCGGGTGCGCGCCTGCCAAACCGCCGCACACCTCGCCACCCGCACGCTTCGCACACCTCGCCACCCCGCCTCCGCACACCTCGCATGCCCGACCTCCGCCCCCCTCTCAGGCGAGCCGCTCGTCTCGCTCCGCTTCACGGGCGGCCTCCCCCGCGGCTCTCTCCTCTCGATGGCGTGGGGCGACGGCAGGGTGACCCTCGCCCCCCTCTACGATGCCGAGGGCTGAGCGCAAGCCCCGCCGCAAAGAGGCTGGCGGGTCGAGCGCGTCGCAAGGCGGTGGACGAGCTCTCCGAGCTGGCGGAGAGCCGGGGCGACAGACCGGGGGCCCGACGGCCGCCAGGGTGCGCAGGGTCGACGGCCGAGGGGAGGGCGCGCAAGGCCTAAGCGCGGACGGTATGGCTGAGGTCGCACGCGCCCCTCGCGCTGGTCGGCCGGGGGACGGGGACGAGGAGCTGGAGCCACGGAGGACAAACTCCAACAGACACAGCAGCGCTCACGGGAAAGCAAAAAAAAGGAGAGAAAAATAAAGCTCGGCATCATTTTGGGGCTCATTTTGGGGGGACATATGTTCCTAAATCCCATCTCGTCTCAGAGTTTGACCGTTATTTGTTTTTGGACTTAGGGGACCCCTAGGGTTCTGAGGGCCGGATTTTTAAAAGACCTTTTAAGAGATTGGCGGCTCCAGAGCCGCCTCGGTGCGTTTAAGAGATTGGGCCCATGCTGCCGCTCCCATTTAAGAGACCATTTAAGAGAATCGCACACCGCGCCCAACCTGAGCCATTTGAGCCATTTAGAGCGTTTAAGCGCGGGGAGGCTGGCGGGCGGGCGGGCGAGCGAGCGGGCGGGCGGGCGGCAGAGAGCGAAGCGCTCTCGGGGCCGAGCGAAGAGCTTTCGCCGCCCGTCGGCAAGTTTTGAGTATAGACCATTCATGGTGTGATCGCGTTTAAGGGCGCGGGGAGGCTGCCGAGTCGTTTGACCGTTTAAGACCGTTTAAGGAATCGGCGGCCCAGCAGCTCTTAAAACTTGCCTAGGCAAGTTTTAAGCCGTTTAAGCCGCAGGCGCCCCAGGGCCCACCCTTTTAAGCCTAGGGGTCCCCTAAGTTTTTGGAATTCCCACCTCTCACGTGGCGCCACCGCCATGACCAGTCCTGGCACCACACTGCAGCGCCTCGAAGCGCGCAACGAACTCGTCGCACGCCTGTGAGTGTTTGCGGGGGGGGGCGCGCAAAATTGAAGCGAAGGGTGTGAGAGTGTGTGCTCAGTCGGGAATGAAAAAAATGGCGGGGCGGGGTGAGTTTCGTGAGGGCCGCGCCTCCTCTGGAGCGAACGACGCCGAGCCACGGCAGGACGCGTTGCGCAGAAGAAAGAACGAGTAGACTGCAGTGAAAACCTCGCTCCCGCACTCCGCAGCGGCTGCTAGCACCGGCCGAGGCGGAAAGGCGAGGAGGCGGAGACTGCGAATGACACGGCACGCCGCGAGGACGTCCTGCTGCTGCAGCAGCTCCGCCACCAGCGCCTCCTGCGCCGGAGCGCCGAGACGCTTGAGAACGTCGAGCCCGAAGTCGGCCGCCGGAGCAAACGCCGGCGCGAGCTGAAAGAGGAAGAGAGCGAGCGGCACAGAATCGGGAAGGATACGCCTGCGAGGAGGAGCAGCGCGGAGTGAGAGTGGGATCGAACGGCAGGCCGAGACCGCGCGGGGGCGGCGCGCTGAGTCAGCAGCAGCTGAAGCTGGGCATGCGACCCTTCCGCCGCGAGCAACCGCAAGAGCATCTCGCCCAACACCTGCCGCCGCGAGGGGCAGGAATGCTGAGCCGTGGCGCAAGACAGCGCCTGCGGGCGGGGAGAGCGGGAGAGCGTCTCGGCACCGGGTCCGCGGACGCCCCCGCGGCCACCTGGCTGTGCAAGTACGCCGTCATCGCGGCGAGCAAGTGCCGTCGCCTGCGGTCGCGCCAAGAGCGGTCAAGAGCAGCGCGCGTGGGAGCGGACACGAATGGCCGCTGGCGCCGTTGACAGCGCGCGTCTGCCTCTGCTGGCAGCGCCTCCGCCGCCGGGCGGAACACGACGCTGACAACGCGGCGCGTGGCACAGCTGCGAGTGTACGGGTCCGCCTCCGCGTCTGCAGCCGCCACCGCCGCGGCAGTCGCGGCCGCCGCCTCCTGCCGATCGGCGTCCGCCTGCTGCGCCGCTGCAGCCAGCGACGCGGCGGCGGTGGCCCCCCCGCCTCCCATCGCTGGAGAAGCGGCGGCTTCTCTGTCGCCAACGACAGCTCCTCCGTCAGCTCCTCGGACCCCATCGCTCGCGGCGGCACCATCGCCGCCGTCGCCACTGCCGCCTTCGCCGCCGCTGTCAGCATCGGCACCGCTGCCGCCTTCGCCGTCGCTGTCGCCGTCGCCGTCGCCGCCACCGCCATTCGCCTCCTCTGCCGCCCGCTCGCCCTCCCCGCCCCCTTCTGAAGCGCCCGTTCCAGAGTCATCCACCTCCTCGGCGCCGCTCTCGCTCTGGTGGCTCCCGCATTGGGCTCCGCTGGCGGCGGGCGGCACCGGCGCCGGTGCCGGTGCGACGGCTACGGCGGCGGGGAGCGCCTCGTTGTCGCGCCCCGAGTCCGTGAGCCGAACGACTGGCGCGTTGGCGGCTGCGGCGCCGTCCCGAGCCACGGGCGCGCCGAGAGCGGCCTGCGCCGCGGGCTGCTGCAGGAGTGCAAACATGCGGGAGAGCGTGGGCAGCGGCTCGAGCTCGCTCAGCGCGTCGGCCAGCACCTCAAGGAGGACGAGGTTGGACCTGCAGTCATTCCGCACTTCTCAGTCAGACCATCGTCGGCCAGCACCGCGAGGGGGGCGAGGGAGGCGCCTCGACCGCAGCAGCAGGAACTCGAGCAGGCAGACCTTGTCGATGGAGGAGGCGGCGATGGCGCGCAAGTTGAGCCTCAGCCGACCGGCGCGCCCGGCGAGCGGGTCGACCACCTTGTCGGGCGGCGCGATGAGCCAGTGCGGGGAGTAGACCGGGCTGAAGCCGTCGGCGGGCAGGGTCGTGAGCGGCAGCGGCGCGGAGATGGGGCAGGAGCGGTTGATGCGCAAGTCGAAGAGGGTGGCAACCTGCTCCGCACGCGGGCGCGTGAAGAGGCGCCTTCACCGCTGCCGAGGGTGCGAGAAGGCGGGCCTGCTGGTCGAGGGCGTGCACGACCAGCAGGTTGTCGCACACGCTGAGCGCCGCACGCGCCGAGTGGGTCGGCAGCTCCTGTTCGAAGGTATAGAGGCGGCGTGGGCGGCAGGGGCGGTGGCGGTGGCGGCGGCGGTGGCGGTGGCGGTGGCGGTGGCGGCGGCGGTGGCGGTGGGGTGGTGGGCGAGGAGGTGGCGCGGAGGCGGGCTCACGTGTTGGCGGAGGACGGCGTCTCGGTAGAGGGCGTAGAGTACGACCTTGCGCGCCTCCTCGTCAATGTGGGCGCAGTACAGCGCGTCGTACACCCGGTGCACACTTACGTGCCGCGCCTGGAGCGAGCGGCGAGGCCGCTGCTGCCCTTGCGCAAGGGGCTGCGCGAGGGGCAGCCCCTGCAGCGGGGAGAGGAGGACCTCGAAGCGCGGCAGGCGGACGGCGGACCGAGGCTGGAGCTGCAGCCCGGACAGCAGGTTGTCCTGCTGCCCCGCGGCCAGCAGCATCAGCCGCGTCTCGTGCGAGTAGACCGACCACGACACTGGCTGCGAGACCCGCCGGAGCAGCTTGAGCGAGCGCCGCTCGCGGAGGACCCTGTACAGCTCGACTCCGGCGGTCGTGACGACCGCGAGCTCGCACGCCTCCGAGCCCGGCCAGTGGCTGCCGAGGATCCGCCCTCGATGGCGCGCAGCCAACCCGCTGCTGCCGCTCGAGCGCGCCGCCAACGGAAACGTGCTGCCGCTCGCGAGGTCAAAGATGTCGAGATCGACCGCCGAGCGCTGCACCGCTGCGAGCTGGTGGTCGAGGCTGAAGCTGATGCGCTCCACCCGCCCTGCCGACTCGCACCGGATGGGAGGCCTCTGCGGCGCCTGGTCGTCGTCGGGAGGCATCGCGAGTGCTACGAGCTCACGATGCCTGATCAGCACGAGCAAACCCGCACCTTCGTCAAACCGCACCATCGAGTCGCCCTCCTCGAATTGGAGACGAGAACGCAGCGTGACGTGCGACATGTCATGTGTGAGAGGGTTAGCAGCTCGTTCACCGAGTTCACGCGCAACAAAGGGGTGACTATCTAGATACCGGGTACACAAAAGAATTTTGCCAGACCAGCAATAAAATACCGGGGGAGGCCTGCGCAGCCTCTAACTATCTTACAACAAAACTCCCTCGCAAAAGAATTTACAACACCCACAGCAGACTTTTAGCAAAAACCGCGTCGCACAACACTGGGCACGGGACTGGTGCGCACTGGCACTAACGAAAGAATGTTGCAAATGAGCGCGCTGACACACGGGCGAAAAGGCATCTGCAGGCCTTTGATGCAGAAGTCCCGCCTTTGTTGCGCCCCCGCCCCCGCGACCCCCCCCCCTCCCCGTGGCGTGAATGCTTTAGCATTCTCGCCCGCTCTGCTGAGGGGAGGGGCAGGACGAGCGGTCGCCTGAGGTGCCTATCTCTATCCACCCTCTCTTGGTCCAGCGGGGCACGTGGCCAAGGACGACGTTTCAGGATCGCCCGTCCGCTGCTCGCGCACGCGCGTTCTCGTCCACGCCACTCCGCTCCCGCCGCCCTTTTGATCTCTGAGAATATGGAAAGTTCACGTCATGACGGTAAAACGGCTGTTAACGGTCGCGACGTGGTCAATATGTCGTGACAGCGGCTGCGAAACGACAGCAGCAACGACAGCAGCAACGACAGCTGGTGACAGCTGGTGACAGCTGGTGACAGCTGGTGACAGCCAGCTGCCAGGGAGGAGTGAAAGGCACCCAAGAACAGTGACAGCCATAGTTACAGTGACAGTGAAGCCAGTGAACGCCAGCGACAGGCGGTGACAATGTCAGCGCGGGACCCTGCGAGTGACAGCGACAGCGACAGCGACAGCGACAGCGACAGCGACAGCGACAGCGACAGCGACAGCGAGGCAGCGCCAACAGTGAGGCAGCCATAGCCCTAGTGACAGGCACCAGCGAAGGGGCCCAACCGCCCACCCACCCATCTGTGCATTACACCTCATGGACTAAAATAAGACACCGGTGCGCGTGGATGTAGCTCTCAGCGCTTGATGCACAGCAGCGTTTGTACGCGGTCTCACACGTTTTGCAAAACTCCTGCTCCTCTACCTCAGAATTTCTCTGTGTAGGGTGAGCCTGCTTTCTTGTAGCAGAGCCGAGCTCTCTGCATGAGAGTTCCTGATCAACGCCAATTGTGGCTCGCGTCGGCAATGGCCAAGAGGTTCAATACCCGAGGTGTGTTGCTCAATGCTCTGCGCGTTTGCTTGCGATCGTGGATTTCAAGGTCCCAATCCTCGCGGTTGATGATTGACGCCGTTCGCTCGCGTGAGATTTTTGAGCGGCAGATGAACCAGCGCTGGAGCCCATCACGGCACATGCTGGAGGAAGGAGGGCAAGGGTTTTGCAGATTCTGTGACTCACGCCCGCTGCTGCTGACGGTGCGTGGCTACTGTTGAGAGGGTTTCTCACGTGGCGTCGTGCGAGTGAGCGGTCGCGCGCGCGTGCGTGTATATCTTGAGTGTCCTGTCTCTCTCGTTAGTGGCACCACATCCCATTGTGACACTGTCCTGCGGGGGTGCTCATGAGAGACAGCAGCAATGACAGCAGCAATGACAGCAGCAATGACAACTGGTGACAGCTGGTGACAGACAGCTGGTGACACAGGTAGGTGTCACTGTCGCTGTCGTTTGCTGTCATGACAGCTCCCCGCTGTCGTGACAGCGGCTAACGGTCGTGACAGCGGCTAACCGTCATGACGTGACCTTTCCATAGTCTCTCTGTCGCGAGACGCCCGAGTCGTTCTCAAAGCGTGACAAGAGATGAAGAGAAGGACGGCCGCTCGTCTGTGGTAACGCTTCAACCGGCCCAGCCCAAAAAACACACAGATGGCGCTGTCCGCCGTCGGGACCCGCCTCTCGCCGAGTAGCCCCGGCTCGCAGCCGCGCCGATCGCCGCGTGGATCTGCGCTGCTGTCGGCCAGCAGCCCTTCGCTCAAGTACCCACTGAAGCCGCTCAATGCCAATGGCGGAGGTGAGGCCATCGCGCAGGCGAAGCTCGTGCACAACTTGCAGCAGCAGGTCCCCGCTCTGCCAGTCCCCCGCACCGTCAATGCCGATCCCCTGCCGATCACGCACCTTGCGACTCACAACAGGTCTACTTCCTCGAGCTCGAGCTCAAGTTTCTGAAGGAGCACGGTGCGGGTGGCCGTGCGACGGCCGACACGGAGCAGGCACGGGAGCAGCTTGTTGCGGCGAGGGAGGCGATGCTGCGTGCGGAGTTTCACAAGGAGAAGGCCCAAGCAGACAAGGCGGCGGCCATCAGCGAGCTGACGCGCGTTCGCGATCGCTTCAGCGCGGCACATCAGCAGTTGACGGTGGAGGTGGTCGAGCTGCAGGCCGCGCTCGAGAAGCGGAACGAGGCGGAGGCGCAGCTGCGGATCGAGCTGCACGACGCGACGATCAAGTACGAGGAGCGGAAGAGCTTCGCGGCGGGCTTCGACGGCCAGGCCAGGGTCTGGGCGGAGGAGAAGAATGAGCTCGAATCAGAGCTGAACCGGACGCGTGGTCGAGAGCAGTCGCTCCTCTCTGAGCTGCTCGACGAGAAGAATGCCCACGGCCATCTGCAAGCCAAGGCGGCAGTCTGGGATGCGGACGCGGCGGCGAGCACCGCCCACCGGAGAGAAGCGCTGCGGGACGCTGAAGAGGCGATGCCAGCTTCCGCCGCCGCGACTTTCCTCATCGCGTGTCTGACCATGCAAACTGAATGGTTGAAAGGCGAACGTCAAGCTGCGTGAGGCAGAGATGCGTCTCGAGCGGCAAGATGTGTCGCTGCAAGAGGCGACCGCGCAGGCGAGGCTGCTATCACTCTCACGTTGCGTGACCCTATGCGCCCGTCAGTGACACTTTGCTGCACCACAGGCAAAGCTCCTGGTGCGCGAGAACGAGGCGATGAAGACGGCGCTCGCGGAGCTGGAGATTGGTGCGCAGCGCCTCCGAGCCGACAACCAGAGGCTGCAACGCGACGACGAGGACCGGAAGGTTTCGAGGGTCCTCGGACGCTTCCTCGTCCGCAAGATGGAGCGCCGGATGCATCTCGCGCAGGCGGAGCAGCGCAACCACGAGGCGCGCGCGTGCGCGTGCGCGCGCACGCACACTCGCACACACACACACACACACACACACACACACACACACACACACACACACACACACACACACACACACACACACACACACACACACACACACACACACACACACACACACACACACACACACACACACACACACACACACGACAGCATGATGCGGATGATCGCACCGCCTCGCGACAACACTTCCCGCCGCACGCGCTAGGAGCGTCTCGCCTCGCTCCGTCTCGAGTTGGCGGAGGCGAACCAGCGCTGTGAGACGATGCAAGCGGAGATGGAGAGGCAGGCGCAGCAGATTGCGGCGCAAGGAGGCCGGAGCTCGCGGCACGCTGAAGAAGTTGCAAGGCTGACGGCTGAGAACCGATTGCTGACGGATCGGGTCGAGACGTTGACGCTATCTGCCACCAACCAGACGGCAGCGGTCGAAAGGCTGCAAGAGGAGAACGCATCACTGCACGCCAAGGCAGGCATGGTGGACACAATCCGCCGCCGCGAGCAGCAGGTGTGCTCCCTGCAGCCCTCTGATGGTTGCTGTTGGTGGATGACGAGAGAGCTCGAATGCTGTCACCACCACACACAACCGTACCTGTCTGTAGGCACGCACCCTGATCGAGCAGGCGCAGAAGCAGCTGCTCGGCGAGACCGACTTGGAGGCGTGAGCAGCTGTGTTGGATGCGCTGTGTTGTAGTGGCTGTCTGTGCTGTGCTCACAGCGTGCTCGACACTGGCTGTCGGCTCCCACACCTCCTTCATTTCGTCTTCTGTGCACACATGATAGTGTGGTCATACCAAAAAGTAACACGTTGGCGCGATCACCCTTTTGCAAAGAAAGAAAGAAAACACACAACCCAAGGGAGGGATGGGAGAACGGCACGCCGCCACCACACAGGGATTTTAAGGAGAGGAGTGTGGTGCGCTACGCACACAGCAAAAGACGGAAAAAAAAGAAAGAAAGAAAACAGACAACCCAAGGGAGGGATGGGAGGACGGCACGCCGCCACCACACAGGGATTTTCAGGAGAGGGGTGTGATGCGCTAGCCGTCGCCCACCCTAGGCAAAAGACGGAGCACTTGGACGCACAGAAAGTTCCTTTTCTTGTCTCGGTGTACCTGTGTTAGTGCCAGTGCGAGCCAGCCCCGTGCCCAGTCCTGTGCCCAGTGTTGTGCGAGGGAGTTTTGTTGTAAAATTCTTGTCTCGCACCTCGTCCCGCAAGGGGTCCCGCCGCAAGAAGGTCTCGCACGCCGCGCAAGAAGGTCTCGCACGCCGCGCAAGAAGGTCTCGCCTCATATGCCGCGCAAGTCCAAGGCCCAGTCCGCGGGATCTGCTCCGCCGCCGCAGCCCGCCTCGCTCGCCGCGGAGCGTGATGCCGCCGCGCGAGCGGAGCATGCCGTCCGGAGATCGATCGCGCTCGAGGCACTTGCGGCGGCGACAGCGGCGCAAGACATCGATGCGCTGCGCGAAGCGATCGAGAAGCACGGAGAGATCGCAGGCGACTCATCCGAGTACTGGCGCGCGACGATGATGCGGAAGGAGTTGCGGCGGCTGCACAAGCGTGGCCCGGCACCGGCACGCTGCCTCGCTGGAGCCGCCGTCTCTCACCCGCCGGCACGTCCACGCGACAGGCCCTCGACACGTGTCTGTAGGCACTGCCGCCGGCCGCGACAAACCTCGCGCCCGAAGCCGACTTGCGAGTGGCAATCGCCGAGCTCGAGGAGGCGACTGAGGCGGGCGACCTCGTCCGTCTCAAGACTGCAATCGCGCTGCACGGCGCGGCTGCGGAGGAGACGGACGCGCTCTACCACGCGAAGCAAGCGATGACCCGTCTGCTGGAGGAGCGAAAGGTGGGTGCTCTTTAGGAGCCTTGCTCTGTGCATGCAGAGGCCTAGAGAGAGAGAAAGAGAGAGACCGGCACCTTTCCCAACCCGTCCTGTGTTCCGCCAGGCGGAGAAGAAAAAGCGGCTGGCGGCGGCGAAGGCGGCGCCCGCACCAGCTGCGGCTCCGGCGCACCCGTCTCACGATGAGGAGGCGAGGGCGGCCCGGGCGGCCAAGGCGGCAGCGGCAGCAGCGGCGGTGGCAGCGGCAGCTGAATCGGTCGAGACTGCCCGGACGGCTGCGGCTGCGGCTGCGGCCGCAGCAGCGGCGGAGAAGGAGGCGGCGGCGGCGGCGATTGCAGCGGCAGCCACGGCCGCCGAGAAAGCGGCGGCCGAGAAGGTGGCGGCGGAGAAGTTGGCGGCCGAGAGGGCGGCGGCGGAGAAGGCGGCGGCGGAGAGGGCGGCGGCGGAGAGGGCGGCGGCGGAGAAGGCGGCGGCGGAGAAGGTGGCGGCGGAGAAGGTGGCGGCCGAGAGGGCGGCGGCGGAGAAGGTGGCGGCGGAGAAGTTGGCGGCGGCGGCCGAGAGGGCTGCAGCCGAGAAGATGGCGGCGGAGAGGGCGGCGGCTGAAGCGGCGATCGAACGGCTTCGACCCTCGGCGGCGGCAGCACCACCAGAGCCCAGGTCGCTCCCCCCGGCTGCAGCGGTTGCGCCGGGCTTGCCCGCCGCGGCTGCGGCTGTGACGCCGCCGCCCGTCGGCGGGATGTTTGGAAAGCTGTCTGCGCTAGAGGCGCAGCTCGGCCTGGACCCGGGCGGTGGAGGTGCGCCCGTCCCCCGGCTTCAGAAGCTCGAGGCGACGATGGGCCTCGTGCCAACGTCTCCAGGCCACCCGCCGCACCCAGCCGCCTATTCCCCCTCGCCCCCCCCCCCCC